GCTTAGCAGCACGCTGAAGTGACTGCACTCAAAGCATCCAAGATCAGTCTTCCGAGAATGACATTATATGTGATCTAGAAGTCCACCACTAAGACTTATGTCATCACCGTCCTGATTTTGGGTTCTACCCCAGAGTCACTGGTAGGTCGATCGTTCCCTTAGGGACTAGGTTGTCCCTGGTGAACCATAGAGTGGCGACAGATACGCCCTCAAGTCTCTCTTTGTGAACCTCATTTCTCAGAAAACCCCCAAGAAAATGATGTTTGTTGCACTTCCATTATCGACCATCACCTTCAGTACCTTGGCACTACCGATCTTGGCTGCGATTACAATCGCATCATGATGATGGCGAGGAGATTCTTCACACTCTTCCACTATGAATCATATCACCTCGTTTTCTTGCATAGGCAGCTTCTATTCACAGCTCATCACTCGGGAGACTGAGTTTGTTCTAGCATCTCGAGCATATTGCTTGCGAGAGCGTCTTGAGCTCCCTACAATGTCGGGACTCTAGTAGATCATGCCCACCAGGACTTCATTGCTGGCATTGGTCAAGGCTTGTTGAACCTGGTTATTCTGCTCGCCAATACTTTCGCGAACTAGTGTCTCCTTAATAAATTCTTTTAGGTGGCCCCTTCTGATAAGATCTTCAATGGCATCCTTTAAAGCCTAACACTCGTTGGTATTGTGCTCAATGTCCTGGTGATATCGACAGTATTTATGTCGATCTCTTCTACCCAAAGCCCTTCTCATTCTTTCTGGAGCGGGCAGTCTCTTAGCCTCACAAGAGACTTCATATATATGAGCTATGTCTTGTATGAAGGAGATGTATTATGCATATCGCGGGAAAGGCTACTTGTCCCTGCGATTATCTATTCTCTGTCTCTTTTAGGAGTTGTTCTGGTCCTTGTCATTGCGGTCTTGGCCCCTTTGCTTGTCTTATGGGCGATCTTGTCGCCTGTCTGAGGCTCTTTGCGATGAGCTTCTAGGTAAAGCTGCCAACAAGCTTTCTACTCACTGGTGTTTTGCAATCATCTGGTAAAACTTTGTTTGGCTCACATGATCTTCACTTTGGAGCTCTTTCCACAGCTTCGTTTATGGCCTGATGCCTACAATTAGCATAGTCAGGATTGACTCTTCGGGTGCATTCGCTACCTTTACTTGCTAGTTATGGAATCTCATTAAATACGAGGTTAGTGTTTCGTCTCTCTCCTGATGAATGTTGCTCAAGTAACTAAGCCGCATTGCGAACTACCTCCTCACTTGAAACTGTTGTAGGTACAGCAAGGAGAATTGTTGCCAAGAACTGATAGAGTTCGCCTTGAGTCCTTTGTGCCACCTCTTGGCGTCTCCTACCAATGTGATTGCGAAGCAGCAGTGCTTCGCTAAGTCACAGACCTGATGCAGCTCCATCAAATCATTGAAAGTGTCAAGGTGGTCTCTGGGATCTCTTTTCCCGTCAAACTTACTTTCTAACAACCTGAATCCTTGGGGAAGTAGGGCCTAACAAACTTCCTCTGTGAAGGGAGAGCTCGCTATTTTTTCCGCCGCATGGTTCTAGTAGGCTCTTAGATCATCAAACATTTTCTGTACTCGATCTAAGTCTTCGTTGTGGTTGCATTGGCCGGCTCTGTTCAGCCTTACCTTGAGCAAGTGAGTTCACAAATCTGTTGCTTGTGAGCCTCCTTCATTATGCGCATTGATGCATGAAGTTGAGTCATGATGGCTTGGCTAGTTGGTGCTATCGTGCTCATTGGTGCATTGCTCACGACGTCGGTTATAACTAGAACATCTATCATTACCAAATTGGTGCACATGACTCACCTTGTGAGCTTGCGAGGTTTGAGCCTGGCTTGGGCATGGGTTAAAACCAGCACGCTGACGTTGGGGATATCGTCGGGCAGGTTAAGCATCTCGTGGGCGACCATTTCTTTCACTTTTCCCCATTGGCTATTTTCCTAGTCACCTCCTGGGGTTAGTTTGCCCACGGGACTCATGCTCGTGAGTAGTGTGTACTCTGTGATGTCATGGGCGTCGATCGCCCCTTAGTGCCGATGAACCAGATTGGTCACTAGTTGAATTCTAACCCGTCGGGACGATATTGGTGAAGCATGGCTAGTTAAGGTTTTGTGCAGTTGGTTGCTGATTTCTCAACTCAGCCAGGTTCTATTGCACCGTCTGTGCGATCATTATTCTGATCATTTCCACCAGTTGGCCGTTCTCGGGATTTGACGTTCCTGCTGCTTGGTTATTCACAGCTTGTTGAGTTGGAGGCATTGGCGGTCGATGCCCAGCGGTGTCTTGTTGCATCTCCTGGTGGGTGGTCTCCACATTGTCGTGGTTTCTGGTGGTAGTTTTTGATCTTATACGTACCATTTTAGGCCTTGATTGATTAGATCACTGAGGTTGTTTGCCAGAATTTCTGAGACTTTGGCGGAGACCCTCCTTCTAGTGCCGAAATATTGATACAATATTTTGCACTAACTAAAGTGATCCGATCGACCTTATTGGGACTGGAACTGATATGTGCGTAATTACGAGTAACCAACAGTGAATAAATAATAAATGCAGCAAAGTAAATAGCAAAGATATTTTTAAAGTGGTTCCGCGAGTTGAACTCTTGAGCCTACATCCACTGTTTTTGTATTTGTTGTGAGAGCCAAGGGTGGATTTAATGAATGACAAGTGGGGACTGTAGCCCCCACTCAATTTTTTAAAATTTAAAATTTAAAATTTATATTTATATTTATTTAAATTTTGTCCCTATAAAATTTTGAGATTTTAAGAACAGAACGGCCCAACCCCCACGGTAAGTTTGGATTTTATTTTTGTAAAACACCATTTTTAATCCTAATATATTTATTACATATTGTTTGTGATTTTTATTTTTATGCAAGGAGATCTGTTAGTTTTTAAAAGTTTTATTGGGAGTGAAAATGAAAGGAATAAAAGCTGTTGGGTTCACACGTAATTGAGGGGAGAAATCTGAGCATTTTTACAATAGAAAGCTAATCAACTTAATCCTTTTGTTTTCCCCTGTGGGTGATGTGCTTAAGGTTATTGAAGAAGATGATTTAAATCCTAAACAAAGGGGTGAAGCATGTAATCTATTAGATTTAATATATTCCTTCGAGTTTGCATTTAGCTTGCATATGATGAAAAATTTATTGGCAATTACTAATGAGTTGTCACAAGCATTGCAGAGAAAAGATCAAGACATTGTAAATGTTGTGGCCCTAATCAAAGTCTTCAAACGATGGTTACAATTGTTGAGAGATGAAAGATGCGAATCTATGTTGAGTAAAGTTTCTTCATTTTGCCAAAAGCATGATATCACCATTTTGAATATGGATGATATGTTTGCAATTCGAAGGCAGCCATGACAAAGAGTTGAGCACATGACAAATTTGCATTACTATCGAGTTGAATTGTTTTATAAAGTGATCAATATGCAACTTCAAGAACTTAACGCTCGTTTCACTGAGGTTAATACTGAGCTGTTTTTTTGTATGACATGTTTAGATCCAAGTAATTCATTCTCTGCTTTTGACAAGCATAAGTTGATCCGTTTTGTCTAGTTTTATCCATCTGATTTTTCTACACTTGAGTTGATAGTACTTGAGAACCAGGCTGAGACTTATGTTATTGACATGTGTTCTTGTGATGAATTTGTTGAGTTACAAGGAATTGGTGATTTGGCTAAGAATTTAATTTAGTTTAAAAAAAAACATTTTTTATCCGTTGGTGTGTAAACTTGTAAAACTTGCATTGGTTTAATTTAGTTCTACAATGAATCTTATGGAAAGTCGGTTACACAATCGAATGGGAGATCAATGGATGAATGATTGCTTGGTCACCTACATTGAGAAAGATGTATTTGATATAATTGACGAAGAGATGATTATCCAATATTTTTAAAATATGAAAACTCGTTGAGGACAACTATAGAAAAGGATGGATATGATTGGTTTTAATTTTTTTTTTTTTTTTTTTTGTTTATTTTTTGCCCCCATCGAGTGGAATTCTTGGATCCGCCACTGGTGAGAGCTTACAATGATAGTCTTATAATAATTTGCTAACCCCTTTCTTATCATTGAAGGGGGTTTATATACAGGTTTTGTACAAAGGAAAGAGCGAAAATAAAGGGATTACAATTAAGTTTGAAATGAAACTCTGATATTATCGCGATTGGGCGCTGTGATTGCGTAAAGATTGTTGTCAATCTGATCCTTCTCGAGATATCTAGGATCTAAAGTTATCTGTGAATTGGTTTAACAATTGTAAGGATTGGTTGCGACTAGCTTGGACTAGGTCGAGCTATAACTCGACGAACTTATGCTGGGTCAGACAATCGGTAGAGTCAGGCTGGTTCTGGGTCGACCTATAATCTTGCAATTCTCCGAGCTTAAAGGAAAAATCACACGCAACAAACCATAAAGAAAATGTAATTACCTAGTTGGATTCTTATGAGGGTAATTATCAGGAATTCATTAGAAACATACATAAAAGTTCGTTTAATTAATAAATAACATAATTTTTTTTCTAATAATAATAATTTTTATAATCAAAATGACGAAATGGGCTGCTAAATATTCAGTTGTATATGAACCTTTTTGGAATCATCTCCTGAACTTTTAACGGTTTGGTCAAACTGAGATGCCATGCGTAGATAACCTCGTTCAGTATGAGGATGAGAGAGCGCGCACAAAAGGTCGTTGTTATTACTCATGTCAAGGATACCGAAAATAGTTATTTTCACTTGGGATTGGCCTTTCGCCTGCAACATAACAGGTTCCAATTAAAATAAGTCTATGCAACTTGCGTATTTATATTTGGTCAGATTGACTCGTCCCAATTTTCTCTAAACTCAAGAAAAGACACAATCTTATTTTTCAAATAAAGTTTGATCTTTTGGCGTTGTTTTGTTGCTGTTCTTACGTAAGCAACGAATCTACATAAACCGACAACCTTGAAACTCTTTTTTCCCGGGTTTGGTTAAATTGGACCTGCATAAATTTCTAGCCGGCCTACCACGACCCTCACTCTCTCTGTCTCTGTCGGTTTGTGTTTTGCTGCTGCACACCATGGGGTTCTTGAGCTTTTCTTTGTTTGTTGTATGGGCGCTTCAACTTGTTTCTGCACAAACAATCACTGACCCTGCTGAAGGTCTTTGTCTCTAATACTATAGAGTTCTTAAATTTTGATGGTAGTGTATAATTCTATCAGTCTTTGTTTCTCATTAACTTTTGTTCTCCAGTGGCTGCCCTCAACAAGATGATAGATTACTGGAACTTAAGAAGCAAACTGAATCTTACAATTGACCCATGTACTGAAAATGCTCCATGGGCATCTGAGGATGCAAATCCACATATTATATGTGACTGCACCGCCAGTCCCTGTCACGTCACCCACCTGTTAGTTTAATTTATCATCTTCACTGACAAATCTTATTCTTAGCACTGGTATTTTGGTATGATGGTCAGGGTCTAAGTTAATTTATATATATGTATTCCATGTTTCAGAAAGATCTATGCTTTGGACATTTTTGGAGAAATACCAAGTGAACTGTTCGTACTAAGGAAGTTAATGGACTTGTAAGATTCTGAATTCTTCAAAAAGAAATTAAAGTTTTAGTTCCTTCTGTCTTTTTCAAATGATTTGATGATCATGATTTTATGATGCAGGAATCTTGGTCAAAATGTGTTAAATGGACCCATCCCAGCGGAAATTGGAGAGTTATCAGAAATGCAGTACCTGTAACTCCCAACAAGCTTTCTAATATCCTATAATTCAGAGCTTTTGAAATTTTCGATTTAACGCATTTTTTTTGGTTAAGGTCTACTCACAGTTGTTTACTTTGTGTTTGAATAATTGAACAGTAGCTTGGGCATAAACAATCTCACAGGTCAAGTGCCCGCAGAACTTGGCAATCTCACCAAGCTGACGAGCCTGTTAAGTGCATATCTTTCAAATTTTGAATACTTCATTTGCCGGAACCGATTCTAATAATTTCCTTGGTTTCCTATTTTCTTTATTGCAGAAGTTTTAGTTCAAATAATTTCTTTGGTCCATTGCCCAAGGAGCTTGGGAATTTGACATCTTTACAGCAATTGTAAGTTTCGTAATCTAAAAGTCATTTTTTTTAATTGATATTAAAACTTTAAACCAGAATATCTCCAGCTGAAAACTTCTGGATTGCTAGTGGGTCTCGGCTCGCTCACCTGTTCAATTTAATTTACCATTGGCGAAATAAATAAAACTATCTTGTTCTATAAGAGTTAATTAATTATCGTTATTTTTACTCCTTGTAGCTAATCTAATTTTGTTCGTAATTTGATTATCTTTCAGGTATATTGACAGTAGTGGAGTGAGTGGACCAATCCCAGAAGAATTTGCAAATTTGAAGTCCCTACAAAACCTGTACTTCACTGAAAAATCTTTTTGACCCGTTTGATGATATCAGTTGGTTGCCTTATTTTTGGATTCTATTTTTCCTTTTTTCAGATGGGCATCTGATAATATATTCACTGGAAAGCTTCCAGAATTTTTTGGGACTCTTACAGAACTCATTGACCTGTATGCATGAATTTGCTGAATTTATAATGCTATGCTTCAAAGTTCACATGTATTTGACTGATGCTTTATCGTTCATAGGCGACTTCAAGGAACATTACTTGAAGGTCCAATTCCAAGCAGCTTTGCTGCTCTCACAAAACTGACTGACCTGTAAGGTCCTTAAATCCAGGCAACATATCATTTGAATAATATTCCGTGGTTGTTGTATTTTGTATGTGTCGTTGGAGGTACTGATTTACAATTGTTTAATACCATCTATTTTTTACAGGAGAATCGGTGATCTCAATGGTGAAGATTCTACTCTTGATTTTCTAGAAAATCTAAACATTTTGTCTACTCTGTAAGATTTGTAAATCTTGAAACTCTACAGAACCCTTTTTGTGGTTTCATTTCAGATTCTTCTGTTTCTATTTTGTTATGAATCCCCAAGTCATGTCTTGTGGCATTTTCTCTGCAGATCTTTGAGAAACTGTCGAGTGTCAGGTCAAATTCCTGAAGGACTTGCCAAATTTGCTAGCTTGAAACTACTGTAAGTCATCTTGACAACAAAGTCACAGCAGACACATTCAAAAATTTGTTTTTCTTATTCCTTGAAAAAAGTAGTCACTCTAACTCCATGATTCATTGGGATAAATCACTATGTCAGGGACTTGAGCTTCAATAAGTTAACGGGTCGAATACCCAACTCATTTCAAGATTTTGCTTCTTTAGAGTATATGTAAGTACTCTTGTTTTAGTTCTCATTTGTTTTTTCATTATGCCTTAATTGAAACAAATTGTTAGTTATGAAGTAACTGCACCGTCATAACTCAAAAGAGATGAATAAATGAAGAATAGTACCATCCTTTTATGAACTAGAAAAAATGATGTATCTCTTCTGTTGGTCCATCTAATTTCTCTCTGAAAGATACTGATCATATGTCTCAGGTATCTTGGAAACAACAACTTGAGCGGAGAGCTACCTGAGAAAATCATAAGTTCAAAACTCATTGCATTGTAAGTGCTACCTAAGATTTGGTCCCTTTTGTTTTCATTGTTCATGTTTATGGTTTGTCTCTGTCTCTGGCACTTCAATCCAACAAATACTTTAACTATTGCATTTCAGAGATGTCTCATACAATCCCCTTTCGGGAAATTTGGGCCATAATTCTGGCAAAGTAGGATTATCAGTGTAAGTTATACTTTGATTGATTATTATTAACTTTTAGGACTACTTAAATCTTATCCTCCTCTTTTATAAGTTCTCTTGCTGCTGCTAGATATGATATCCCTCTTTTTTCTTTAGGAATGTTGTTGGAACTTCTACCAATGCAAACAGTTTGCAAGATCGGTAAGGTTTTACTTGACTCAGCTTCAGTCCTTTGTAGCTAAATCAGTTGTATATTTCTCAGTTAAATCAAGAAAAAATGTATCTTAATCTTAAGAACTAGTTTCTCTTCTATGATTCTCGAGTGTTGGACATACATTAATTTTCTCCAACCACTTCCACATTGAGGATTACAGGAAAACTTTTGGCTTGTTGCAGTGCCTCAATGGCAATACCAAGTGCAGCAACAAATTTCATTCCTGTAAGTGCAGCCTTCTAAACTTTTCTGCATCAAAAAGTGATTTGAATATCCTTTAATTCTTGTATTGGACTGAAAACAGAAATAAGATAGTTTAATCAAGTTATAGTTCAATGGACTTCTGGCATGTGCTCACTAGAGATCGTTTACTTTCTAATGATATCTTTTATGACTCAACTAAATAGCATCTATATTTTGACTCCACAACATGTTAATGTCTTGAGTTATTTTTATGACTCCACAGTATTTTTATTTTCATTTCAGCTTCATTTTCTATCAAGTCTGGGGGCACAGAATTAACATCATCATTTGGCATTGAATTTAATGATGAGTCTGAAACACTAAAAGCTGCATCATTTTACACAAGCTCTGATTACAGATGGGCAGTAAGCAACACCGGGAACTTCATCTCAAACCCAAATGGACCCCAGTATATAGCAAAGACAGATTCTCAAATCATAGGAACTTTAGACTCTGAGCTGTATAAGACAGCAAGAATCTCACCAAGCTCACTGAGGTACTATGGCCTTGGTCTGAAGAATGGGAAATACAGTGTTGATCTTCACTTTGCAGAGATAGTGATGGAAGACTTGCAGTCTTGGAAAGGTCTTGGACGGCGCTTATTTGATGTTTACATTCAGGTATGGTAGAAATATCCTGCTGGAAAATTCAAAACTATGGGAATTTGAATCTTGAATAATGTCTACATCCTGATTCAGTCATTTCTTTTGGCTAAAAGTCAGAAGAAAATGGCTTCCTTTGGGTTATTTGTATTCTTATTTGTTATTTTTGTTCTCACATGAAATGATTGGTTAAGGGAGAGAGAGTTCTCCAAGACTTCAACATTCAAAAGGAAGCAGGTGGATCCAAGAGAGCCTTAATAAAAACATTCGAGACAAATGTGACAAACACAATCATGGAAATCCACTTCTTCTGGGCAGGGAAAGGCACTTGTTGCATTCCACTTCAAGGCACATACGGACCTTTAGTATCAGCAATCCATGTTTCACAAGGTTCATAAAATTTCTCATATTCTTTTCCCACCAACTTTAACTGTTTCTTATCATTCTTAATCCCATTAACACACATTTTTGCAGTCTCTACTAGTGTGGGTGATTCAAACAGTGACAAAAAACGCGTAGGAAGACTGGTTGGAATAGCAGTTGGATGCGCAGCCGGGGTCGTGATAATCTCTTCCATTTTCTACCTATGGTGGGCAAAGGAGTCTTCAGGACACAAGAAAGTTTTCACAGACTCACCAAAGCATAATTTGGTAAGTTGAGGAAGCCACATTCTGTGTGCTGTAACAAATACTCCCAACCATGTCTCTGCTTGTGGCTTCCCAATAATATGAAATAGTTGGGATCTGTCTATCCTTGTGAATTTTAAATTTTCGTTTGTGTTCCACATTAATTGTATAATAATCTATCAAGTTGGTTAGTGGTCTTGGTGAAATTGTTCTTTGTTTTCTTGTATTTTTTAGTGTGTAGGCCGCTAACCACTCACTAAACATGAAATCTATCAATGTTTTTTTGTATTATTATTATTGAAGGAAAGAATAATTAAGCAAGAATACATGTAATTTCACTTTCTTTGTGAATCTCCTTTAAATTCATAACCTACCTTTATTTTACACCTTGCATGCTTTGTGATATTTAACTTTTGTGTTTCACAAGTGTCTTTTTTAGGTCCGTCCGTAGGGAAAGAATAGATTCATCAACCTAACTTGAAGGAGTCATTATAATATACATCCCCAAAAAGAGAAAAATAAAAAGAATGCAGAAACACTGTTAATAAAATTCATATCGATCACGGTGGGACTCGAACCCACAATCTCCCGCTCCGGAGGCGAGCGCCTTATCCATTAGGCCACGCGATCACCTTGTGGTGGCGTTCCGCAACTTACATAAATTACTATTATGTAATAATCAAGTAGTATAAATTACAAGCGTTGTCATGTGTCTCAATTTAGGGCCGCAAAAGCAAGTAACTCAGACAGTTGACTTTCCATCTCACTCACTTTAGCGTACTACCAATGGCGTATGCCAACCCACTGTCGAACTCCCGGATCAATCTCCACGTGTCAACTCCTTTCATCCAGTCATACAGTAACTCCTCCAGAAGTCTCTATCACCGCAAACCGTACGCGTTGTACTGTAAAATAAACAACCCAACACCCACGCGCACCGTATCAAAACTCAAATCTCTCTTGCCTTTTGCTTTGGTTGATTTCTATTTTAGTTCGGACAAACACACAAATACAACACAGCCCCCGACACTTCCGGTAAAATAGCTGCCCCTCACCAAATCATTTAGATCAAATCGACGGTCCACGTCGGCGGACCTAACTCACTATTTTAAATTCATTTATTTTTTTTTTTAACTCTCTTACCTTCTTCTTCTCTCCTCTCTTGCTTAATTTAGTATTTGAGTCTCCTCCCAACTCAGCGCCAGAGAGAGTCTCGCTTCTAGACGCGGCTTTCAGTCAAACCAAACGACGCCGGTTAGCCGTCTCCGCCACTCCTCCGAGATTCTTCAAGTCTGTTTAGTTTTATTGTTCTCCGTTCGTTTTTGTCCAAGAGAAGTCGACAGATCCGACGACCTTTTTGCTCACCGCAGCATCTTCTCCCAGATCTGACGGTAAATTCAAAATCCCATCACTTCTAGGAATCTGCTAGTAATGTTAATTAATTACTTGAACAGTCTTAATTAATTAATCATAACCGTTAAAACGAATCCAACTGTCTTGATAACTTGATCATTTACTATTCGCATTTAAACATCAGTGAAAAAAAAAAAAAAGGTGTGAGAGTTAAATCAGCGGTAGAGATGGCGCCGAGCACGATTCGGAAAGCGATCGGGGCTGTTAAAGACCAGACTAGCATAGGCATAGCCAAGGTAGCGAGCAACATGGCTCCTGACCTAGAAGTTGCCATAGTTAAAGCGACGAGCCACGACGACGACCCGGCGGACGAGAAATACATTCGCGAGATCCTCAACTTAACCTCTTACTCACGTGGCTACGTTCACGCCTGTGTGTCGGCCGTCTCAAAGCGTCTGGGCAAGACACGTGACTGGATTGTGGCACTAAAGGCTCTGACGCTTATACACCGGCTATTAAACGACGGGGATCCGATATTTCAAGATGAGATCTTATATGCAACAAGAAGAGGAACAAGGCTCTTGAACATGTCGGATTTTAGAGATGAAGCTCATTCGAGCTCGTGGGACCAGTCAGCTTTTGTGAGAACTTATGCCATGTATTTAGATCAAAGACTTGAACTTGTTTTGTTTGATAGAAAGAGTGGTTCTAATTCTGCTTCAGGTTCAGGTAGTCATCATAATGGAATTGGATCTAGATATGGCGATGATTTTCGATCTCCCCCTCCCAGACCGAATGAGTATGATTATGGAGACGCCAGAGGCGATAGTGGTTATGGAAATTATGGAATGACGAGGAGATCAAGATCGTATGGAGATATGAGTGAGGCTACTGGTCGGGAAGAGAAAAAAGCAACGGTGACTCCATTGAGAGAAATGAAGCCAGAGAGGATATTCGGAAAAATGGGACATTTGCAGAGACTGTTGGATCGGTTCCTGTCATGCAGGCCCACGGGTCTGGCTAAGAATAATAGGATGATTTTGATTGCGTTGTATCCGATGGTGAAAGAGAGTTTTCAGATTTATGCAGATATTTGTGAAGTTTTGGCTGTGTTACTTGATAAGTTTTTTGATATGGAGTATACAGACTGTGTTAAGGCCTTTGATGCATATGCAAGTGCAGCAAAGCAGATTGATGAGCTGATTGCTTTTTATAATTGGTGCAAGGATACCGGTGTGGCGAGATCCTCTGAGTACCCTGATGTTCAGAGGATTACAAGCAAGTTATTAGAGACTTTGGAAGAGTTTGTGAGGGATAGAGCCAAGAGGCCCAAGAGTCCAGAGAGGAAAGAATTGGAGGCTCCTCCACAGGAGGAACCGGTACCGGATATGAATGAGATAAAGGCATTGCCTCCTCCAGAGGATTACACTCCTCCGCCACCACCTGAACCAGAACCTGAACCTGAACCTGAGCCTCAGAAACCACAAGTGACTGAAGATTTGGTGAATTTGAGGGATGATGCAGTTACAGCAGATGATCAGGGGAATAAGTTTGCCTTGGCTTTGTTTAATGGGCCTGCGGCTAATGGTAATGGATCATGGGAAGCATTTCCATCAAACGGGGCGCAGATTACCTCGGCTTGGCAAACCCCAGCCGCTGAACCTGGCAAGGCAGATTGGGAATTGGCATTGGTTGAGTCTGCCAGCAATTTGTCAAGACAGAAAGCAGCATTGGGTGGTGGGCTTGATCCATTGTTGTTGAATGGCATGTATGATCAGGGAATGGTGAGGCAGCATGTGAGCACTTCCCAATTGAGTGGTGGAAGTGCAAGTAGTGTTGCATTGCCAGGGCCAGGGAAACCTTCAACGCCGGTATTGGCTCTCCCGGCTCCCGATGGAACAGTTCAGGCAGTTAATCAGGACCCATTTGCTGCATCATCAAGCATACCACCTCCTTCATATGTGCAAATGTCTGATATGGAGAAGAAACAGCACTTGCTAGTGCAAGAGCAGCAGGTATGGCAGCAGTATGGAAGGGATGGAATGCAAGGCCAAGCGAGTTTGGCCAAGCTCACCGGTACTGGATACTACAATGCAGGTCCTATGCCTGTGATGCCTTACGGAATGCCACCAGTAAATGGGATGGGACCACCAGCAGGGTATTACTATACTCCTTACTGATTTTTACCACATATGTTAAGAGAATGTTCTCTTTGTTTGTCATTATGTTTTAATTTAGTGATTTCTTTTCTTATGTGATATGATGTTGCTTCTTCATTTTGTGCACAAAACTGGGGCAAGGGGGAGAGATGGGATCAGTAATTGTGGGGATTTTGGTGATGGCAGATTTGTAATCCATCGTGATGTCATTCTGTGCTTTTGTAATATTAAAATTTGTTGACAACTGTACTTGTTAGTTATCTTTGTGTTCGGAGGAAACTAGTACATACTTTCTTTGCTACCAGACCATAAGTAAGTTCATACCATAAAATTAGGTCCACCGTGGAAGGTTATGTCTTGTGCAACATAACCAGTTAGATCTTCCATGTAAGATGTCGGAAAAGTTAGGTTGTGAGTAGCTTGTTAAGTTGTGTAATTCATGTCCCTTTGCTGACCCCTCCATTAGTCAGTAAGGAGTAATTTTCCAACTTTGGTAAACAGTGCTTACTTTGACTGTTTTCTGTCTGTTTGTCAAATGTGAAGGCCCCCATAACTTTACTCTAATTTCGTTAGGAACTTTAAATATTATGCATCTCAATAATCTATTCATGTAAGTGACGGGCATGACCAGCCACATTCAATTTAAACTTTAAAGTAATTTTTTGTCTTACTTGGTGTCGTAATCCTTTTTAGTCCAAATTGCACTGACATTATTGAAACTATTCTTCATTACAAAAGAAAACAGAAGCATATCCAGGTCAATTCAGAATTTAGAAACTAAGTTAAGGAGGGAAAAGGCTAGAGGCTGACAACAAAGTAGTATTCAGACTGCTTGAGCTGCTGATCATATATATATATATTGCTAAACGGCAAAACCAATGAGGAATATTCCAACTTCGATATGACTCCAAAGCAGCTGAAAATGACTTTTTGGCTCTAAATCATATGATCTATTTGAGTTTTTTTGTTTTCTTCTTTCTGTAATGGTTATTACTGTTAATCCAATCCAAATCAAAAGTCTTATAGTTTGTGGACCCAGCTTAATGTATTATTGTAAGATAACTTATTTCTTTTTTCCTGAAATTTCAGGATTCCCCCACTCAAAAGAGCTGTAGGAATAAGCTTGAAGTGACCACATATTGTTTTTGAGAAGTGGCCATTGGATTCGTAGTCCCTTTAATTTGTTGATTCTATTTAACACTGAAATTGGAACAAGTTGGTCCACCCAAATTCGGGTGTCCAAGAACCAAAAAAAAAAAAACTTGGGATGAGAAACAGGAAACAGTTGAATTTAGATTTAATATTAAATGGGATCATCGAGGTCTGGTGGAAGTTAGTGGTCTTGGTCAAGTGTAGCATGAAAATGAGCAACAATTCAAAAGATCCAGCTATATACTAAGCATGAATGAGAAGGACTTTATTGTCTTGATTTGGTGAGAGTTAGAAAACAACCGACTATGGAATAGAGGCCACATAATTCTAGAAAACTCATCAAAACCCCATGACCCACCACAGTTTTTCTTTCCAAAAAGCTTTAATTTAATGGGAATTTTGAATCTTTTTTGGGTTTTATGGGGAGCAATGAAAAAGATAAAGCTATTATGAAGGAACGAGAACGAACACCATTTACATGCAAATGTGTTAGCTTTTTTCTTTTATTCATTTGGTTTATCTTTTACCTTTTCAATGGTATCTGAGGCAGTCTCAATTGTTTAATTGGTGAAGGTTCTAGATAGTCTACATCATATTCTTTAATCAATGTTTAATATATGCCAAGACACAGCAACAGCATCACAAAAAATACATTATTATTTCATATATATATATATATATATATATTCAAAGGCACGTTGGCAATGGCACCAACGCACGATTTAACTATTTATATTCTGTAAATTTGAACTCACCCGATTGCTGTGCATTAAAAGTATGTTGAATATGAAAAACAGATGGTTTAATGGTTGAAGCTGGAAATTTTAATGGTAGATCACCTAACAGGCTTGTCAAAATCATTGAAAGGTCAACTTCAGCTGTGCGTGGGTCCTGTGGGACTTAAAGCAGTTGATCCATCCCAACAAATACCCATGTTCCTCTCCTTCAGCTCTTCACTTATTTTCAATCACCTTTCAACTTTTTATTTACTCAAAACCAAAAAGGGGAAGGAAATCTCTCAGTTTCTCACAGATACACTTCCCAGTATTAAAATTTGTAGCTTGTACATTGTTTTTAGCATGATAAAAGGTCGTTACATCGATTGAATTGGACACTATTTTATGCCAGACTCTGACTAGGAGTTGAAGAGACTAAATAAAATAGCATAGCATTGAATAGACCCAAACGCTGAGAAGGAGAGGTTTAATTTGGGTGAAGTTTGATTCTTTAAAGACTGTTGTATCTCAAGTCCATTCTGACCATTGCCATCGACCATTCTCGTCCAAATTACTTGGCCCAAGATTTTGTAGGTTAGGCCTAACCAGAGTATCAGACCTTGATTCATGGGCTCCAATTTAGTTGGGCCTATTGCTGGACGACAACTTTGAAAAAGGAAAAGGTAAAGAAAAGGGCAGAATAGTAGAAGATTGGTGAAAAGAGGAAAGGCAACAACTTGNAGGAAACAGTTGAATTTAGATTTAATATTAAATGGGATCATCGAGGTCTGGTGGAAGTTAGTGGTCTTGATCAAGTGTAGCATGAAAATGAGCAACAATTCAAAAGATCCAGCTATATACTAAGCATGAACGAGAAGGACTTTATTGTCTTGATTTGGTGAGAGTTAGAAAACAACCGTCTATGGAATAGAGGCCACATAATTCTAGAAAACTCATCAAAACCCCATGACCCACCACAGTTTTTCTTTCCAAAAAGCTTTAATTTAATGGGAATTTTGAATCTTTTTTGGGTTTTATTGGGAGCAATGAAAAAGATAAAGCTATTATGAAGGAACGAGAACGAACACCATTTACATGCAAATGTGTTAGCTTTTTTCTTTTATTCATTTGGTTTATCTTTTTACCTTTTCAATGGTATCTGAGGCAGTCTTAATTGTTTAATTGGTGAAGGTTCTAGATAGTCTACATCATATTCTTTAATCAATGTTTAATATATGCCAAGACACAGCAACAGCATCACAAAAAATACATTATTATTTCATATATATATATATATATATATATTCAAAGGCACGTTGGCAATGGCACCAACGCACGATTTAACTATTTATATTCTGTAAATTTGAACTCACCCGATTGCTGTGCATTAAAAGTATGTTGAATATGAAAAACAGATGGTTTAATGGTTGAAGCTGGAAATTTTAATGGTAGATCACCTAACAGGCTTGTCAAAATCATTGAAAGGTCAACTTCAGCTGTGCGTGGGTCCTGTGGGACTTAAAGCAGTTGATCCATCCCAACAAATACCCATGTTCCTCTCCTTCAGCTCTTCACTTATTTTCAATCACCTTTCAACTTTTTATTTACTCAAAACCAAAAAGGGGAAGGAAATCTCTCAGTTTCTCACAGATACACTTCCCAGTATTAAAATTTGTAGCTTGTACATTGTTTTTAGCATGATAAAAGGTCGTTACATCGATTGAATTGGACACTATTTTATGCCAGACTCTGACTAGGAGTTGAAGAGACTAAATAAAATAGCATAGCATTGAATAGACCCAAACGCTGAGAAGGAGAGGTTTAATTTGGGTGAAGTTTGATTCTTTAAAGACTGTTGTATCTCAAGTCCATTCTGACCATTGCCATCGACCATTCTCGTCCAAATTACTTGGCCCAAGATTTTGTAGGTTAGGCCTAACCAGAGTATCAGACCTTGATTCATGGGCTCCAATTTAGTTGGGCCTATTGCTGGACGACAACTTTGAAAAAGGAAAAGGTAAAGAAAAGGGCAGAATAGTAGAAGATTGGTGAAAAGAGGAAAGGCAACAACTTGATCTGGCTATCATTAAACACCAGCCACCAACTCCTTGTAAATGCTGGCTTTAATTAACAAACATCAACATTTAAGCTACCCTCCATGTGGGCTTTTACTATAAATTTAATCTGATGAAAGAATAAAATAACATACCTAAAATTACCGATAATTCTTTTCGCATCATTCTCTCACATATACACTTGTTTTAAATATAACCAACCAAACGAACCCAATCCAACTCTATATATTTTACATAAGTTGAAGGTGATTTACAAATCCAAAACTATTTATTAATTATTAACAAAGTAAAGTTATGTCTACCAAACTCCCATAACAATCACACAAAGACACATTTATAAACTGATTAAAGGGGTGTTTGTCTAAACTTATGAAAATTAGCTTATAAGCAACAAGTACTTATAAGATAATTTTAGCTTATAAGTGTTTGAAATTTTAAGCAATTACGTGTTTGGTTAAAGTACTTATAAGTGACTGATAAGTAGTTGACGTGTTTGATAAAATATGGCTTATAGTTACATTTTATTATAAAATAACTAAAAAGAGTACTATATTAAACAAGGGTATACTATAAAATTTTAAAATTAAATAAGGATAATGTAGTAATATACTTGATCAAACTAGCTTATAAACAGAGTGCTTATAAGCAAAAAAAAAATACTTTCCCCCAACTTTTTTTTTTTTGTTTATAAACTCAACTTATAAGTTTAAAAAAATTATAAACAAACAGATCAACTTTAATTTTAAGGCTTATAAATAAGTTTGACCAGTTTATAAGCTTAGACAAACAATTTAATTTGTATACATTACTGCTATTAACCGCGTGAAATGAAATGAAAGAAATGCACATCAAATCAATGGACGTTTGATAAGAAATAAGATTTTAATTACTGAATTGGACACTGAATTTTATGAATACATCACCCTTTTGATTTTTTAATGCCAACTAGAAGCCTATACTTTTTACCTCCAATCAATACTTAGACTACGTATATAATATTTAATATTATTTATTAAATAAAAACTTACCTAATCTCATGTCTTAATTGGAGCAAGTGTGAGACAAAGAACAGTGGGTTTTTTCCCAGCTCTTTCATTAACTTTACCCAAAGATGCAACAAATGCCATCAACTGCATCCTAATCCTTGAAAATGACATCATTTGCTATACTCAACAACGCTTTGATCGAACCCCGAGAAAACTTTCTTGCGAATAAAAATGGGTGACGCCCTTTCATCACAGCCAAATCAGACCCGTTGTTTCCATCATCACCGTACCTTGGCTTGTCATTTCTCAACTTAAATATCAGCTCCGGTCCCACCTCAGACTCCTGGTACTCGCGCGGGTGACCCCCAGAACTGATACTCCAGTCCACGTGGGTGAGCGTGGCCGGCACGCACCCCCTTGGATCCCGCATGTGTATAAGGGTAGAAAAGTAATTCTCTTCCGGATAACACGTGTCATAGTTTCTGCATGGTTTGTTGAACTTGCTCCAAATCCAGCTGTCACTAACCACAAGCCTCGCATGCTTACGTGTCAACACCCAGAACTGGGACCCAATCCTAAAATCCTCCAACTTCACTTCTGGTAACATCGCGGTCTCACCACGCGCCGCCCACCTGTCATACGACCCAGGCTCGTTTTCAAGAATCTCAATGAAGCTCTTGTTAGATTTCATCAGTGTTCCGTAAGTGAAATTAAAAGAGTGAATGGGTATACAAGACGGAGACAACATGGCAAACATGTAATTTCCCGAGTCATGCAGCAGAGCGTGAGCAAGTAAGCGACGCGCGGCAGAAGCGAGAGTGGGAGTGAAGCGGAGAGAGGATTGAGAAGGTATAACTCGCTGAGTAAAAACGCCTGAAAACGGGAGGTCGTATTCAAAACTCGGGTCCGCATGGACGTAAATATTGTACAGATTCTTGCTAGTGTTGTTGAAGTACAGTTCCCAAAGTGGGGCTAAAGGAAGAGGCATAGTGGTGAGGAACATAAACGCGAGTTTTCTGTTCGAAGTGGGTCTTCGGCTGACACGCGCAGCGACTCGGAAGAGTAATTCATCATCTTTGGGTATTGGCGGCGGTGGAGGCTGTGGAAGAATGACGAGTGGGGTTCGATGGGTGTGGTTAGAAGAGTTTTGAGAGGAGATGGTAGTGGGGGTTGTGATAGTGAAGACAATGGCTAAGGGTAAGCAGAGAAGTAGAGCACAGAAGAGAGACAGTGGAGATGGCGACAGCATGTTTTGCTGTGTTCAAAGTTGGTGATTTTGAAGGGGATTTGATTGATTAATATCCCGAAAATTTTGTTATCATAGAATCCCTCGGATCTGTATCGTAACATGTCGATTCGTCTTTTTCGTTCAAATTCGTGACGATCTGACAATAAATACTAATCTGATCAAATTTAACTGTCAACACTATAGATAGGTTTTTCGACCACGACGACCAGATCTAACCATGAATCGTTAGGCCTTTATAAACTGATTATTTCAGACTCTCGTGTGTATCATGAACCAAGCTTACCCCTATTAAACCGTGAAATAAATGAAAAACAAGTCCACATCAATCAATGGAGTGGATATTATCATATCAGCTGTGATTTGAGCACTTTCCCACCCTTTAAGTTTCAAAATGACATTTTCTCACCGTTTTCTATTAAAAGGTGATTAAAAAGACAAAAATACCCTTACATATTTGACTTTATTGTTTTTTATTATTTTTTATCATATCAATAGAGTCAATTACCAAAATACCGACTCTTCAAATATGAAATTACTAGTATTACCTCAACTTTATATGAAAATTAAATTACCAATGTATCCTTGTTTTTCATTAAAAATAATGTCTCAAACGTATGAAGTTAATGTTGGAATTTTAAAAATTTAAAACCTATAGAATTATCATTTTGTCCTTATAGTTACTACACAAAGTACTAGTATTACTAATATTTGAAAATAAGAATCCAAATTATAAAATGAGCAATGCTAGTTTTACAAAGACATATACAAAGGGGATATACAAAGATAATCCCCACCCTTGATTTTCATGATTTCTCTCTTTTTCCATTTTTTTTTTTTTCTGGATGATGTCACTTTGTAGCCTCCTTTGTATGGGTCTTTGTAAGAATAGCAGTTTTCTTATAAAATTGCAGTGCACGCACGCACACATACACACATATGTAGCCTGATTATCTAACTCTTCCTATGTACACCTTGAATTTATGTCAACCAACAGATCAACTCACCACACTGGCAACTTCATGTCTACTTTCCACATTTCTACTGTTGGCTTCCCTCCACTTGATCTTTTAAATAACTTGTGTTTTTCTAATCTTCCTTTTACGATGTCCAAACTCTTGTTTGCCACTTTAAAGAGCTTTTCTCTTCATTTTTTATTTTTATTATCTGAAAAAGGTTTCTGTAAATAAGTATGTGCTTTTTTTTTTTTTTCTTTCTTATTTGTGTGTCTCTACAATCAAATGGTAGAAGAGCCAAAGTTGTACTATGCGACCAATGGAACAACTCAACCACTTGATCTAAGAGAGCCTGACACAAAAGTATATGAGGATTCTACATTTAAAGTCCATTCCATATGTTACCACATATTTGATATATGAACAAAAACCACAAGTCTATTCAATAAGGTTATACCTAAAACTTCTAACACTAAAAAAAACTAAGTCTCAAATTGTCACATAAAACTATTAGCATACTAAAACACTACCAAACTCCTAAAATAAATAATCCATTCACTTTATAAAAGTGACAATTATCTCCAATAGACTTGTATGTAATGTCAAATTATCACAGAAGTACAGTGTACAAGAACAAAGCACCCTATGTCAAAATTTGAAAAACTATGCAAATGAATCAGCCTACTCAAAGACACAAAACAAAACCATGCTGTTAAAAATTACTACCACTGGGTGTATCTGAACCTTGTAAGAAGAACCAAATGGTTATGCAACAGCACAATGCAAGAATTTAAAGTTATAGAAATCAACTGAGCCCCGAGAGTTTAACATAAAACAAAAACCTTAAGTTCCCAATCGCTTCAGTTTTGAAGAACAGGAAGAACACAAAATATCCACGGAATTGTCGTGCATTCAAACCACTGCCATGATCAGCCCAAGAAGATACCAAAATAGAAGGCAATTGCGTTTGGAAAAGAAGCCAATATGTGAGCAGAAGAAAGCGTTATGACATAATAGAGAGAAAACCTTCAGATTCAGAGAGCAGAGAGAGTTACGATAGAGCTCTAGGTCGCAGTGCTTCAGTTTCAGAGAGCGTCACTTTAGTTTTAGAGGAGAGAGAGAGTTACAATAGAATATGGGAGAAAAAGATACGCAACTTTTTGATATATTTTTTTCAAAGTCAACTTCACTTGGCAACCATTCAGCACTAAACCCTAGATTTCAATTCTTTATTTTTGCGGCTTGATATAAATTAACCATATTATCCTTCCTCAAAACGGAAAATACTAACAGAACTTAACGAATGGTGGGAAAATATCATTTTGAAACTTAACGGATGGGATAGTATCGTTCCGCCAAACTTTGGGTGTGAAAAAGTCGTTCTCCCAAGAATAAAATAGCATACTTAAAATTACCTATAATTATTTTCACATCATTCTCTCACATATACACTTATTCTAAATATAACCAATCAAACGAACCCAATCCAACTCTATATATTTTACATAAGTTGAAGGTGATTTACAAATCCAAAACTATTTATTAATTATTAAAAAAGTAAATTTATGTCTACCAAACTCCCATAACAACCACGCAAGACTCATTTATAAACGGCCAAACGACTTGCGCATATCCAAGGTTTGCCGTAACGATAAAGTGGTACCTAAAAGGTTTAGAAACGACAAACAGGTACCTTCCGTCATATGTTGTTAGTGATTTCTGCTTATAAACAGTGAAAAGACTAAAATACCCTTGAAGTTTGATATTTTAGTTTTTTATAAATTTCTAAAAAACCCCTTAGGTTTGCTAATTTAACTAAACACTCTAAATATAAAAAATTTGTTAAATGATAAAAACACCCCCATTACCTGCAGTTTCAGATTCCGATCACCACTGTCAGAATCTGACCGAAAATTTTGTTATGACATAGAATCCCTCGGATCTGTATCGTAACATGTCGATCTGGTCTTTTTCGGTCAAATTCGTGACTGATCTGACAATAAAATACTAGATCTATGATCAAATTTAACTGTCAACACTATAGATAGAGTTTTTCGACCACGACGACCAGATCTAACCATAGATCGTTAGGCCTTTATAAACTGATTAATTTCAGACTCTCGTGTGTATCATGAACCAAGCATTACCCCTATTAAACGCGTGAAATGAAATGAAACAAGTGCACATCAAATCAATGGATGGATATTATCAGATCAGATGTGACGTTTGATAAGAAATAAGATTTTAATTACTGAATTGGACACTGAATACATCACCCTTTTGATTTTATAATACCAACTAGAAGCCTATACTTTTACCTACTATCAACGTATATAATAGTTAATATTATTTATTAAATAAAAGCTTATCTAATCTCATGTCTTAATTGGAAATGTGTGAACACGTTGAGTCAACTCATTGAAGCAAGTGTGAGACAAAGAACACTGGGTTTTTTCCCAGCTCTTTCATTAACTTTACCCAAACATACAACAAATGCCATCTACTGCATCCTAATCCTTGAAAATGACATCATTTGCTATACTCAACAACGCTTTGATCGAACCCCGAGAGAACTTTCTTGCGAATAAAAATGGGTGACGCCCTTCCATCACAGCCAAATCAGACCCGTTGTTTCCATCATCACCGTACCTTGGCTTGTCATTTCTCAACTTAAATATCAGCTCCGGTCCCACCTCAGACTCCTGGTACTCGCGAGGGTGACCCCCAGAACTGATACTCCAGTCCACGTGGGTGAGCGTGGCAGGCACGCACCCCCTTGGATCCCGCATGTGTATAAGGGTAGAAAAGTAATTCTCTTCCGGATAACACGTGTCATAGTTTCTGCATGGTTTGTTGAACTTGCTCCAAATCCACCTGTCACTTACCACAAGCCTCGCATGCTTACGTGTCAACACCCAGAACTGGGACCCAATCCTAAAATCCTCCAACTTCACTTCTGGTAACATCGCGGTCTCACCACGCGCCGCCCACCTGTCATACGACCCAGGCTCGTTTTCAAGAATCTCAATGAAGCTCTTGTTAGATTTCATCAGTGTTCCGTAAGTGAAATTAAAAGAGTGAATGGGTATACAAGACGGAGACAACATGGCAAACATGTAATTTCCCGAGTCATGCAGCAGAGCGTGAGCAAGTAAGCGACGCGCGGCAGAAGCGAGAGTGGGAGTGAAGCGGAGAGAGGATTGAGAAGGTATAACTCGCTGAGTAAAAACGCCTGAAAACGGGAGGTCGTATTCAAAACTCGGGTCCGCATGGACGTAAATATTGTACAGATTCTTGCTAGTGTTGTTGAAGTACAGTTCCCAAAGTGGGGCTAAAGGAAGAGGCATAGTGGTGAGGAACATAAACGCGAGTTTTCTGTTCGAAGTGGGTCTTCGGCTGACACGCGCAGCGACTCGGAAGAGTAATTCATCATCTTTGGGTATTGGCGGCGGTGGAGGCTGTGGAAGAATGACGAGTGGGGTTCGATGGGTGTGGTTAGAAGAGTTTTGAGAGGAGATGGTAGTGGGGGTTGTGATAGTGAAGACAATGGCTAAGGGTAAGCAGAGAAGTAGAGCACAGAAGAGAGACAGTGGAGATGGCGACAGCATGTTTTGCTGTGTTCAAAGTTGGTGATTTTGAAGGGGATTTGATTGATTAATATTTGAGAGAGAGAGAGAGTGGGATTTGGTGGGAGGGGTATATACATATATGGCATGTAAAGATATATATACCTAACATATAAATATATAGTATTTATCACAAATATGATTAATATAAGGCCGTTTTAAGTAAAAATAGAGACTTAAGGTGAAAATTTCCAATTTAGGACTTTTCTCGTGGTTAAAATGTTAATTAAAAAAATCATTCAAACTTTATATGCAATTATAATATAATAGCATTTTATTATTAAGAGAAAATTATCCATTAAAACAGTAGGCAAATAATATATATATATATATAAATATATAATTATATATTATAATTAGTTTTTTATATTTCAAAAACTTTAGATTTTGAAACTAATATGTATACAGTGAAAATATTAAATATGGTCACCTTGAAATTTTTAACTTTCACACTAGATAAGAACTATATTAATTCACTGTCTATAGTATTGAAAGAATATTATGAAGAAAAAACTAAAAAGAAGAGAATGTCATTGTGTTCTATTATGTTATTTTTCATAAAAAACATAATTTTTCTTTTTCTAATGACTGTGGGTTTTCGGATTAGTTCACACGCACCTCAACTAATCGCTGGGATACTAGAATTACCGACGAGGTAAGAATTCCAATGGCTATCCCTATTAACAATCGAGGAAGGGTTTAAACTCATAACTACTTGAGTAATACATCTAAGAGTCTCCATTGAACCACTTGACCACCCATAGGTAGTTAAAAAAAAAAAAAAAGACTAAAATGTTAATGTCACATACGGTGATACATCACTCGGGAAGTAAAATTTTGAGAAAAATACTATTATTGATGTTATAATTAAACTTTGTTAGCATGAGTTACGTGTATAATAACTCTTATTATATAATTAAATTGACATTAACTTTTGAATTTACAGTAAAGCCTAGACCACGGACTATGCAATTCTAAAGAGCTAGTGCTTTTCCAGTAATGGAATATAGATTTTATTTGAAATTGATTTTTTTATCATAAATGTCTGGATTGTAATTAAACTTATAATTGTTGGCATGAGGCATATATATAATAACTCTTATCATATAATTAAATTAAAATATCGGATTTGTTCTTGGTAACAAAACTAATATTTTACAACAAATCTAGAATTTTGAAAATATCTTATTAGAATTCGATTTATAAACTTAATAATGAGAGATAATTAAATGAAAGTGATTTCAAATTTTATTTAATTTTCTCTTTCATTATTAAATCACTTTTTTACTTCTTAATTTATCGAATCTGTATATTATACATGAATCACTTTATAAAAAGTCAAATATATTCATATTTTATCCATCCATCAAACATTTTTGTTTGTTTAATAAACAAAATTTGACAGACATAATACGAATCATCAACAGCTTAATTAAGATGATATAGGCTGTCGCTTCTGAGTTTGTAAATGACAGCCGTTGAGTTGAAAATATGGTGAGTTTTGGGTTAGTAGCGTTACCCGGGAAATAAGACGCTTTTTACCTTAAAATTTAAAAAGAGATAGCTGAACAAGTTACAAGTGGAGTGCATGCAAGCGCCAAGCCTGTTGTACCGTTTATTATGTGAAGGCCTCACATGACCTACGATACCAATAATTTAACTTATAACAAAAGGATTTTAGATTAATAAATTCCTTGTTCAAAACGTATCGTAAAAAAAATTAATAAAAAATATTTATCAATTTATCTTTATTATCATAAATACTGTCGAAGTCTTATGTGCTATAATGCTGAACCAAGGGCGCTCTGCCTTATCTATAGAAGCGGTCAGCTGAGTTATGATCGAATTAGCTCTTTGGTAATGGCTTAATTTATAGATAGAAAGCCCTATGATGGGTTAGGTTTGGAGAGAGATGGGACCGGTTATATAATAGGGGGAGCAGATGCAAGCTTTTTTCTTATCTTTGTTATCATAAATACTGTTAATACTAAGCACCTTAAATAAAGAAGACCCATTATCTACACCTTAAGTCCAAGTACTTACACTCACACCTTTTCCAATTTGGCAGAGTATTTTGGCAGAATGAAGAAAAATTAGAATTCAACAAAACATTTATAAGTTGGGTTGAGTTAATTACTTTTTCTAGTATCTCTACACTAGAAAAAAGAAGTACAAGCAGCAGGATAATGCTTTTCCTTTTGGGAACAAAAAAGAGATGATTATGACTAAAGAGAGTTGTGAATCCCCAGTTGGACTCACTTTTTTCACAAAGGACTAAATGACTGGGCTTCGCTAAACTTAAAAGCCCAGACAAATGTTCTCTAAACCACTCATTAATGCAACACTGAACCCAGCCAGTACATATAGACACAACAAATCATCAACTAATTTGTACATGATGTGATGTTGCAAAAACTATTATTACCACCTCACATGAAACCATCACCCAATCCTAACCTGAAAGTGATGTAATGTTTACTTAGCTTCTGTTTAGTCATTACTGTAATCAAAGAGTTTGTTGAACCAAAGAAAGTGGGAGTTCAAGATGGTGTTTTGCTTTTAAGTTTGATTTTTAACCTCTATGTCTGTCATTATGTGAATGAGTTGAGTAGAAGTTACGGTTGAGGTTGGAGTTGGAGTTGGAGTTGGAGTTGGTGTTGGGGGTTGCCTATAAGTAGAACCCACCGACAGTGACAACATTATCTCAATTCTCTCCCCTTACCACTACAGGATGAATGGACAGGAGGGAAAGAGAGATAAATAAAAGAAAAAGTAAAAAAAAAGAAAGAGCCAAAAACAATGTAGAAAGGGAAGAGAGAGACTCTTGGGGCTAGGGGAAGAGGGCATGTGGATGAGTGGGGGACACACCAAACTGATCGATTAAACCCTTTGAAATTATTGAGCTTTTGACAGAAAAGAAATAAAAAGAAATCCAAGCAAAGCAACACAACAGTCTTCTCTCTCTCTCACTTCACCGTTTATTTTTTTTTGGACCTTATGTCCTTATGCTATTACTGTGCTCCACCTGCTCAACAGTGTAGAAGTCACAAGTAAGGAAAAAGGAAAACCAAAAGCAGAAGAAGCCATTTACTTTTTACACTGCTTCTCTATTTGGTTTCTCTTTCAAGAAACACACTTCTCTGTTTTCTCTCCTCTCACAAACCTAAATTGTTTCTGAAGATGCCTAGACCAGGTCCAAGACCTTATGAATGTGTTAGAAGAGCATGGCATAGTGAAAGACACCAACCCATGAGAGGTTCTCTCATTCAAGAAATTTTCAGGTCTAACTCTTTTTTTTTTTCTCTTTATAAAATGGTTATATGTATGTGTATTTATAGTTACCAATTTTTGGCTTCTATTTTGTTTAGAGTTGTCAGTGAGATTCATAGCTCAGCAACTAAAAAGAACAAGGAATGGCAAGAAAAGCTCCCTGTTGTTGTCTTGAAATCAGAAGAAATTATGTACTCCAAAGCCAATTCTGAGGTTGGTTCATTTTTCTCTTCAGCTACCCTGAATCTCAATTGGGTTTGCTCATCCTGTATTAACAGCTGAGATTCTGAAGGAAGAAATAAGAAATGAGAATTTTTTATGCATTTTAGGTTTCAAATTTTGAAATTTTTACTTTTCCTTTCTTGTGCTTCTCTATAAACAAGGTGGAAGTCTGATATGTTCTTGGATTCAGTATTGTTGATTTTTCAAGCTTAAATTTTGCATTTGATTGTGTGTTAGGCTGAATACATGGACCTTAAAACACTTTGGGACCGAACTAATGATGCCATTAACACGATTATTCGACGTGATGAGAGTTCTGAAACTGGAGAGCTACTTCCCCCTTGTATTGAAGGTATTTATCCATTTTTTTTTCCCTTTCCTTTCTTATTTCAAAGTTGTTTTGTTTTTTCAATTTTACTGTACATATATCCCCTGTCTGTAATTTTTTTTTCTTCTTGGGAGTAATTTTGGCTCCTTAATATCAGTTAGAGAGACTACTACCTTGAATTGTAGATCCTATCCGTGTGATTTTGCGCTTTGTTAGTTAAGAAGTGCTCTTCTCAAAGTGAAGTTCTATGCGTGTGATTCTTCCTTTTTTATGATATTTGTTGTTTGTTAGCTGCTCTCAATTTGGGCTGCATGCCAAGAAGAACGTCGAGAAGCCAACGGAATAGTCACCCAAGGTGCTACCTTAATTCTGGCACACAAGAGCAAACCAGTTTAGAGAACATCACTCAAGGAAATCAGACAGTTAATCCACACTGCATGCCACATTATTCCACTTTGATGAAACCCACAAGCACAGATGTAGCTCAAAATCCTGTTGTTCAAAGCAATATCGACTCCACTAAAAAACTTCCCTTTGCATCTGAGAATGTTCCCCCTTCAATCAATAAGCAATTCTTGCGTTTGGAAAATTTTCCCAGTTTGAATTGGTATGCAGTTTACCCCTTGTTTAATATTGAAGAACTACCACATGGTTTTCAAAATTTTCCTAACTCAACTTCTAACAGTGTGGAACCTGCCAAGGAAATTTGTGTTCAGAACTCTTCAGTTAAGATTGCTCAACCATATATTAATATCAGGGATGCTCCTGAAATCCCACATGATATTGGGTGCGATCTATCGCTTAGGTTGGGACCACTGTCTATTCCTTCCCCGAGTGTTGAGAAATTTCAGCTACAACAAGTTAAAAATGTTGGTTCTAGTTCTCTAGAGGGGAACGAAATGAGTGATTTGACACCACAACTGCATAAACAGTTAATTTTCTGTTCTAACAACAATGTTGATGGCCCATTAGACATGTGCTCAAGTCAATGGAGTGATGAGGACAATGTTGATACAAGAACAAGAAAGCGAAAGGCAGTTTCTATTCACCAATTAGAGGATCAACATTTTTGGCAGTCAAAGCTTCCATATAACCAGTTAACTGGAGGAATGAAAAGTGCAGGTTCGTAGACCGACTCTTATTTCAGGATGTTGATTCAAGTTCTTGACATGGCTTAGTGAATGCGCATTACTGAAGCTTTTTGTACTCTTGCTGCACTTGGGAGTTTATGTACGATTAGTTGCTTGTTTCAGTTTGCAAGAAATGAGATGTAAATATTAATCAAGTTCCAACTAGATGAAGTCATGGTGATTTGACTGGAGAAACCCTTAATCTGAATGGACAGAAATGTATTGTGTCTTGTATATTGCTGCTCGTAAAACTTAGAACTTTTGATGCTATGATGCAGGATCCCAGTTTAGCATCCTTGCACTTTGAAAACATAAGGATATTCCTAATGGCTGACTTTAATTGTTTGCATCATGCTAATTTACAATTATCCTGTTCTTTTTGTCTACTGGATCTTATCTTTTTGGAGCCAAGTTGAAAATTTGATTCGAGTACAATGTAGTACGGGGAAAAACAAACATAAGATTTAGTGATATATGCAAAAGAGTTGCAAGGGTGTCTCTTCTCTAAACCTTAAGCATTACTATAAGGTGAAAAGAAATGATTAGGAATCATTAAGATCGGGGTCTGCAGATCGCGGTCTCATTAACAAGTGGAGAAAAATGATTAATCAAAACTGGATAAATGGTGGGTTTTAGTAAGTGGGGGACAAGTAGTTGTATGCTAATCCAAATCTTTCTGTAATCTGGAGTCAAATGTGGCTGGGGGCCATGGTGTGGACCTATTTACTTCGTCTGATTGGGAAGGAAGAAGATATGATTATTGAATGACTGAATATTATGGCTTTTTAGTTGTTTTCAGTGGTGGTTAGTGTCTTTATAGAATGAATGCTTAATGGGGTCAGAATATAATCTTTCTTGGTTTAAACTTGAGTCTTCATGGAGAATATGAACTATTTTGGTCTATATATAGATTTTGGCATAAAGTATTTGTAGAGAGAGATAAATGGATGGAGGAAATTGAAGGGTTCCTGGAGTTTAACTAGTTGTTTACTTTAGCGAGTCGTTGGGGGGCCGCCCGCAGCAGCATACTCAAGGATGAGATACAAAAGATCATGGGACCGCCCCCAAGGAAACACAAAGTGAAAAAAGGGAATAATTTGTTAAACTTAAGTGGAAGAATATTTTAGCAGAAGCAAAACAACTGTTGAGTTGAGGGGTGTTGTGGGGGTCTGAGAACTAAATGATTTTCACAAGATGACAGATGGAAAAAGTACTACGTTAAAATCTGTAACGTGACGAACACCACACAGGCACACACCACTCAATGAGAATACAAGAAAGATTACCAATAATGAACTACCAAGTATAAAGCTGTAACTTTCTTAAAGCAATTAACATAAAGTTTCTGGGAATAATTTTTTTCGTTACTTATTGATTAGATCTTTGGACTATAAAATCTACTGATAAAAAACGTGTCTGAATATTCTGCAATAAGATCGAATACACAGAGTTCGGAAAAAATGTAATCCTTAATTTGATTCTCTACATATTTTAACTTGTTAATAATTGGCTATGGCACTCACACTCTTCATATATACACTTAATGTCTACTGCATTTAGTTTCACTCTTCACCAGAGAAGAGGGAAAAAGTGGAATAAGTTGAAGGAGAAGATGATGATGATGTATTTGAAGAAGAGCTATAGTGAAAATCGATTTGTAATCTCTTGTGAAGAAAGAAAGTTGAAACTGTTCCTTTCTTCTCTTCCTCCTCAAGTTCACCAAGTGATATAGCAGCAAGAAATCTTTTGATGTACTCTTTACAACACTTTTTCCCTCTACATATTATCTCTTCACTTTTCTCTGAGTTTCCATACATCAAAGTTGAATTATCAAACTTCAGAATGTATGCCTGATTGCACCCCTCAAAAAGCCGCTCGCCTAACGAATCAATGATGTAATAGGCATCTGTTTCAACCTTCAACACGAAGAAATGATCATTCCAACTCACAATGTAGATTCCTGGCTGGTAATCTTCGGCATTCTCATTAATTTCATCCCATATTTCATCAAATGACATGGCTCCCTGCAAACACTCGAATTTATCAGGGCTGAAAAATCCGGTGAAAGATTTATCAGGCAAGACATTTATAGGCTGAAGGCCAGCTTCTAAAACAGTCTCAAGATCAAAATGCTTGTCTGGGAAGAAATTCGTGTAGGTTTCGTTGTTGCAAAGTTTTCGCCAGTCGGAGGAACCTTGTGTTATAAGTCTATCTAATTCTGATCTTGTTGGCATGAAGTCTTGATTCAAGTGAAGCCAGTGGGCAATGGCTGCAACTAACGCTGTGCAGGCACCCTCTCCACATGCTTTCTCGCTCCTTTGATCAAAAGAAGCAAAAAACACATTGGCTTTCAGTTTAGATTGCCCATCTCTACTTACTACTACTCTCTCTTCCCAATTACAAAACTCATAACATCCTGAAGAAAACGCAATGGCATCTGGAATCTGCAAAAATTAATACCCCAATATCAGCATTTAATCCTCCCACCAATTTGAATAAATCCCTTCACTTTGTGGTCCAGTCATTGAAGGATAATGGCATTAAATTTTCATAATAATAAGTTAAAAGAACAGAGGATATGGACCCTCTGTAGGCTCTTAACTTAATAAAGAAGCTGAAGAGTGTAGAGAAATTCAAATACACATAAATGCTTAATGCAAGTTTCTGATACGTACCAGTTCGGGCGTGTTGGAGTCAACATTGCGTTGGCGGTCAACATGATTAGTCTCGTCGTCACTGATCTTGTTGTCATTCGTCTTCTTACTCAACGGTTCTTCTTTCTTCTTATGCGTTATAAAATTCAACCGCCTTCTTTTCCACGAGAAGAACCCCTCCTTCTGGTCAGGTTGAGGTTCCAACTGAGTTTCGGAACTCGGACAAAATTCTGACACAGTTCTTGAGTTCAGTTCTTTATTGGCTTTATCCTTCGTAACAGTGGACTCGTTTCCCGCCAAACCATCCAAGACGTCCGATTCACAAGAACCGGCCTGGTCTCTTTGGCTCTTCTTCCCTTTCTTTTTCTTCTTGTAGCCGGTTAGGCCCATCATCACCTTAAAGAATGCGTCTCCTTTGTCGGATTCGGTAGAGTTTTGAACAAGTCCTGGCGAGTCTTGAGAATTCCTGACCTCCGTAAAACTCACGCATACCTGTACAAATCCATAATATGGACCCCTTAATGACCGTGACCCATCATCAATAATCAATTATATGAATTGATTAAATTTAACCGTTGATTAAAGATATAGCGTGACTAGATTATGATTGGTGGTTGTGTCATTATCTAAAAAATATAGCTTATAATATAAGGTCTTTCGAAATAAACTTAACTTAAACAAAACTTACGGGCTAAGGCTAAGATATGTTTAACAAAATTTAAGTGAAACCTCATAGACAAAAAATATTGGCTCCATGAATAACTATATTTATATATATTAAAGTTGTACGGGAGATTAATCCGTACTTATACAGTATAAATTTGGAGGTTGAGAGATTAAGGAGTAAATATGGGTTAGTGCAAATAAAATGCAGAGAAAATCTAGGTAATCCATGGGGGGTGGTTTCTTTGTTTAATGTGTAGCTTGAAATGAGACTAAATTAAGGGGTATGATATTGATTGATGGAAATTGAACTTACCAAAAGTGTAGCTTCGCTGCCCAAACCACCAACCTTGGAAGTGATCGGAACCTTTCTCTCAACCTGGGACTCCATTGTTGCTGCCACTTCTGCTAAATTTAAATAAGCTTTTCCTAAAACTGTTAATTTTGTCTGAGATTCTTCTCCATCACCCTGTATTTCAACAAGAACTGAAAACGTTAATAATTCCCATTAAAATAAAAACATAATAGTACAAAACATTGATTCACACGAACACAGAACAATCAAAAAGAGTTATCTTACCCACAAAACTTTGAATGATACATTCCAGGGACCATATGAACCATCTTTTGATACAACAGAGAAGTCGCAGATATTCTCGAATTCATCATCCCATTCAACAATTGATTCACCTTTATCCAACAATTTTTGACTGGTACGACTTCTACGAAGTTTGGATGATGAAGGTAGATAAAACGGAGCGAATACAGATTTGGGTCCTTTCCATTTCGTTTCAACAATCATTGTTTTCTCTGTTTCGTCTGCACAAAATCCATCGAGCTTCAATGGCTTCACCTTCACATTGAACCTCTTTGTCGCTCCGGACATTGGCCTTGCCGACCATTTCATCATCTTCTCCTCTTGCAAATATTTCACCAAAAAAAAAAAATGATGCAGGGCTCGTTTAAAACATAATAAAATAAAGAAAAAGAGAGGAGAGAGAGAGAGGGGAAGACTATCTTAAGATGGGGTCAGTGACACGGCCAAGCCAAGTAGGAAAGCTCTGCCAGCCGTGTTTCTGTGTGAACCCCCAACCATTATGATCTGTAACTCACGTGATTTCAACGTGACTCTATGAACACCAAACCATCTCTGCTTATGTGTCAAAGTATTGTTCGTTTGATTGATCCATAATTATGGAATGTTTAGGGTGGAAAGGTCGGATGTGAACTTCACCATCCTTGTGAGGAGGTACACGTCAACACGGATACAATAACAAAACACACGTGGTGGATACCGTAAGATGAGGGAAAGACAACTCAGACAAGAAGGATACGGTTAATCGGACAGTTAAAACGCGCCAAGTACATTACAATTTTGGTCCTGTCTTAGAAGACATGTAACTGACGACCCCTTTGTAACTCGCTACGTGTTTTGATAATTTAATTTCACGCGTGAGATAATCAATGGCTAAACCACACACGTGCATAACATACTTGGTGATTATAATGGGCTTATGATTATGAATTGATAATCCAGAGCAGTTTTAAACGAGTTATACGTTGGCTTATGTATATGGGCTTCCGTTCGGCTGCTACATCCTTTCTTAGAAGTCACACAAAAGTACATAGTTAAAAGGCCCAGATTTTGGGTTTAGCCTCCTATGAGATCTTGGCTCAGTTCTGTGCATCTGACTTGTCTAACTAGATTTTTTTTTTTTTTTTTTGAGGGTCGTATGTTCTTTTGTCTGTTTGTGGTATTAGTGATTTTTTTTTATGTTTTCTGGAGACTTTTTGTCTTTATTTAGGATATGTTATCGTATCTTGTATATTGATTTTGTTCTATATATTAAAAAAACATAGTTAAAAGAATAATGTTTTGACTGTGGATTAACTTTTGGTTCAACCAAATTATATATCTTAATCTTCCTTGTAAGTTTATAAGTTTTACCTAATAATTATTTTAATGTTCAAGTTGGTGGAAGTTTTCAAATTCAAACTCTCTCACTTGGAGTAACATTGAGGTAATTTTTTGGTATAACATGACACTACTAACTAGTGCCTAATTTTGATGAGTGCGTCCTAATGGGTTAGTGAAGATTAAGGATTTTTTTTTTTTAAATTCCTAAGTCAAAGCAAGAAGAAATTGGACTTGACAGCTTTCAAAATGATCAATCTCGTCAAATACTAATATATATATATATATATATATATGTATCAGCTTTATAGAATTATAAGATATGAAGTTGGTGAGCATTACTATAATTCTCTAAGAATTTAATAATAATAAACAAATAAAGGCACATGCTCACATCTCCAATCTCGATAACTTTGAGCTTGTAATGCGCCAGGCATGGAGAAGTAGTATTAATTGTTGCCTGCAGATTTGCGTATCGATGATGTGTTATCAGTCATTCTATCACGTTTATTTAATCATGCATGCTAAGTACTAGAAAGATTAATTGTACGGAGCATAAATTTGACTAGTCCCACGTTGAGTAATTATGATCTCCACTGCTCTATTTAGGTTAAACATGGGTAGTGGATCTCAAGGATTTTTATAAAAGCTCTCAATGATTTTTTTGATTAAGGATTAGTAAAGATAAATCATGCAACTAAATTATAAAAGAATCCCAGAAAAAAAAAAAAGGGAGAAATTTCGGTTAGTTAAATTAACATGCATGTATCTTAAGATTCTGAGAATATTGAAGGATTGGTGATACGCAGAAGATGAAGATGAAGATGAAGTGATAATCCCATGTGAGCACCCCATGAAAAGATGAGTGCAGGACACGTGGCAAGATTAGGTAATAAATTTGAATTCTTGATGTTTGGTCAATGATGCAAAATCCGATTGGTTAGAGGTAGTCCGATGTATTGATTTTGGCAGACATGCATGGACAGCTTTAGTTGAGTGATAGGGTATGAAGAATTTCAATTTTAGAGGTTGTACTGTTCGTTCCACACAATGAGAGAGACGGATCCGAGAATAAGCTTCAGATTTCAATAAGGTAGTCTCCAGTCAATTCAATCCACAACATCCTTCAGCTTTTTATGCTTTGAGACTGCAAATCACACCTTCTAAACTATACTTTTAAGAACGTAGTACATTTTTTAAATTTAGATCTCAGAATTAGATTGGTTGAGGTCTGTGTTTTGTCAATAACTATGGTGGTCCAATTAGAACCAAGTTCCATTTTAATACCAGCAGAAAACTAGCTCTCAATATGTTCAATTCAGCAGAAAACATAGGATTGATGAAATAATATAATTCATAATGGTAAGATGTCCTGGCCACGTGAAATTAATAGAGTCCATAAATGATTCCAACTCATAGTATCATAGAAGATAATTAAAGACCAGTGGAAAGTGAAAATCTCCAACCTAGTCCACCTGTTTCTGTCTCATGTTTAATGCTATTATTATACCAAAGTTATTATTATTATTAATATCAATACATATTCCCACATTCACATTTCCATATAACCGAAACTATATTATTAAGCTTTCTCATTTGCTCCTCACATGGCTATCTATGCCGAAAGGGATTCGCATGTTTGTAATTATATATCATTAAGATTTATTTTATTCTAATTAATTTAATATGAAGTAGGATTCGAGGTATACAAAACCCATTAAGAAAAGTGAGAGATTAGATTAACATTACACATATTTGTTTATGTAATTTATATTATATGAGAGTGTGTGCACTTGGAACAAGTTAATTCCATTATAGCTAATGACTATGATACTAAGCCTTGCGTGACTGTGTCAATTAAAAGTTAAGGGAAAGCTATCCCAAAAGTTTCCGCATCATGTCTCCTTTATAAATTCTCTTGCACACATTATCATCTGTACTATTATCTCATGTGAAATTAAAGCATATTATATGTTATTTATTTACATTGCATGTTTAATAACTTGAGACGACGACGTGTGTGGCTGACGGATGGATTAGAATCTAAGTGGGAGGAAAAAGGGTAATATAGGAAACTGAAAATTGGGACCCACTATACAAGTTGCTAAAGACACCGTGACAAGAGGGGTTTATGAATGAATCAGTTGTGGAAGTTTGACATCTTACCTGAATTTCGTCAGATTTATAGAATAAAAATTTGCAAGTAGCATTTAAGATGGTTACCTATTTCCTCATGGCTTTATCAATCCCAGCTACCTCCATCAAATCCCTTTTTGTTTTATTATTTTTAAACTCCAACTCTCCCTAAATTATTATTAGTAATGGTAATGCCCACCGGATCGATATATACTGGTATCCGGTATGTTAAAATTCAAGAACAATTTTTTATCATTTTAATGATTTTCAGAAATTCCCATATAAAAGTGTTGAATTGGTCCTGGTTCTGTTAGAGATGATGAAGAAAGGTTGATCACATGATGTTTGAAGTTTGATAGCCGACAGGATCGTTGACTTGTATGATTACTGTACACATATTATAATAGCTTTTTATCGTAATAATAACACCTAGATAGTCGTCTGTAATTTTCGAAATAATATAAAACTGTGAAGGGAGGAACTTATTAATATAGAAGCGAATTTGGTACAGTGGCTCCTTTCCTTCTACTTTGTGTTTCTCGTCAGATGTTAATAAAATAAAATCTTTTTTTTTTTTTTTTTTTTTTTTTTCCGGAAGGAATCTATCTATTTTTGGTTTGCGTCTAGAGAGGTTTGCACACTATTTTCGTCTTTGTCTACATTCTTTTTCGGTCTCTGAACACAGAAGAAGTTGAAGTTTCGTGTTTGAGTTGAGTGGTGGTCATACTCCAATGAGTTAATTAACGGAGCCAGTAATTGTTTTTATTGTCTTTTCACATTCCATTCAGTGTTTCTTCAATCGGGTTGTCGTGTTTTTGGCTTAATGGAGCGTACTCATTTCGAGTCAAAAGTTTTTTTTCAAGTAGGTGGATGAATTAATGAAGAGTAGTTATCAGTTGTCAACTTGTCTTATCGGTTTGTGCTTAATTTTGTCTTTATTATCAGAATCTTGAGGGTTAGAGTTTTCTGCAATTTCAACGCCTGCGTTTACATAGATTGCATTCTATGAATCCAGAGTTTTTATAGACGTTTTTTATCTTTTTTTCTGATCAATTTTAAATGCCAAAGTTCTCTTGTTTCCATTACGTAGCTCTGTAGCTAATTCTCTTATTGTTATGTTTTGTTCCCTCGTTTTTGCCAAAATTTACCTAAATTAAGAATAATTTACTTAACATGCCTCCTATTCTGCTTCTTTTGTTAGCTTAAGTGCTTTTGTTGTCTGTTATAATGATTTCTAATAAGTTTTTTAGAGAATTTCGTAGACTCATTCTCAATTAGTGTTTGTGCTGGACAATTTGGTGTACCAACAGTTGAATTTTATTGTATCTACTTTTTTCCGCTTCAAATTTTCCTTGTTTCACTGTTTCAACCGTCTTGCTTTTCTTTTTCCTCTTGATTTTCCCAGAATTTAGGATTTTGGTGGGTCTAGCCATGGAAAGTCGGAAAGTTATTCGTTTCCTGGGCTTCATTTCAATATCTATTATCCTTATCTCTGACACCTGTGTGGCTAGTGTTCGAACTATTGGCAAAATCACTCCAGTGCTTCAAGGGTCTCAAATGAATTGGATCGACAATGATGGGTTGTTTCTTTTATCAAATAGTTCAGATTTCGCTTTTGGCTTCCAAACTACCCAAGATGTCACATTGTTTCTGCTAGTTATCGTGCACCTGGCGACTAGAACACCAATCTGGTCTGCTAATCGAGGGTCACCGGTTACAAACTCTGACAAATTTGTGTTCAATCAAGATGGTAAAGTGTTTTTACAAAAAGGGGATAATGTTGTTTGGACAGTGAATACCAATGGTAAATCTGTTTCTGCAATTGAATTGCAGGACTCTGGAAATCTGGTTATGCTTGGGGATGACAATAGTGTACTTTGGGAGAGTTTTAGTCATCCCACAGATACACTTATATCGAACCAGGACTTTGTGGAAGGCATGAAGCTTGTAAGTAATCCTAGTAGCAATAACCTCAGCTACTTTCTTGAAATCAAGTCCGGAGATATGGTTCTCTCTGCCGGTTACCCAACTCCTCAGCCCTACTGGTCTATGTCGAAGGATGAGCGAAAAACCATTAACAAAAGTGGTGGGAAGGTCAGCTTATCAACTCTTATAGCAAATTCATGGAGGTTCTATGATCAAAACAAAGTCTTATTGTGGCAATTTGTATTCTCAGCTAATACTGATGCAAATGCCACTTGGATTGCAGTTATAGGAAATGATGGCTTTATTTCCTTCTCCAATCTCCAGAATGATACAAGTGCTGCTTCAGATACAAAAATCCCAAATAATCCGTGCAGCACACCAGAATCTTGTGATGCATATTATGTTTGTTCTGGTAATAACAGGTGCCAGTGCTCTGAAGCTCTTAATGCTAGAAATTGCCGAACTGGCATTGTCTCTCCCTGTGATCGTTCAAAGGGTTCTACTGAGCTTGTGGATGCTGGAGATGACCTGAATTATTTTGCACTTCCATATGTTCCATCCTCTTCAAAATCTGATTTGAGTGGTTGCAAAGCCTCTTGCCTTGGTAATTGTTCTTGCCTTGCTTTGTTCTTCCAAAACAGTACTGGGAACTGTTTTTTGTTTGACAGCATAGGTACCTTCCAAAGCTCCGATCAGGGCTCAAGTTATGTTGCATACATTAAGGTATTGAATGATGGAGGAGTTGACACTAATGGTGGAGGGGATTCAAGTAGCCAGAAACACTTTCCATATGTTGTGATCATAGTCATTTCAACAGTAATTGTCATCTCTTGTCTACTCTATCTGGCATTTCGGTATTACAGGAATAAAAAGAAAAGGGTGCCAGAATCTCCTCAAGAGACATCAGAAGAAGATAATTTTTTAGAGAACTTATCTGGGATGCCAGTTCGTTTCAGTTACAGCGATCTTCAAAATGCAACTAACAACTTCTCTGTGAAACTCGGGCAAGGAGGGTTTGGCTCAGTTTACCAAGGGGTTCTTCCAGATGGAACTCGGTTGGCTGTGAAGAAGTTGGAAGGCATTGGTCAGGGCAAGAAAGAATTTAGAGCCGAAGTAAGCATCATTGGAAGTATCCATCATCTGCATTTGGTCAGGCTCAAAGGCTTTTGTGCTGAAGGAGCCCATCGGCTTCTTGCTTATGAGTACATGGCAAATAATTCTTTGGATAAGTGGATCTTCAGGAGAAACAGAAACGACAATCTGCTAGATTGGGAAACTAGATTCAACATAGCTTTAGGTACGGCAAAAGGGCTTGCTTATCTTCATGAAGACTGTGATGTAAAAATTGTTCACTGTGACATAAAGCCTGAAAATGTGCTTCTTGATGATAATTACCTTGCCAAAGTCTCTGATTTTGGCTTGGCTAAACTAATGACTCGTGAGCAAAGCCATGTTTTCACAACTTTAAGGGGCACAAGGGGGTACCTTGCACCAGAGTGGATCACAAACTACGCAATTTCAGAAAAGAGTGACGTTTATAGCTATGGGATGGTGCTACTGGAGATCATTGGGGGAAGAAAAAACTATGACCCATCAGAAACTTCAGAGAAATCACATTTCCCATCTTATGCATTCAAGATGATGGAAGAAAGGAAATTGAGAGAAATACTTGATTCGAGATTAAGGATAGACGATCAGGACGAGAGGGTTTATACAGCCATTAAAGTAGCACTATGGTGCATACAGGAAGATATGCATCTAAGGCCATCAATGACAAAAGTTGTGCAAATGCTTGAAGGTCTCTGCCAAGTTTCTCAGCCACCAACTTCTTCTCCACGTCTTTATTCAACTTTCTTTAAGTCAGTAAGTGACGAGGGCACTGGCACTGGCACTTCCTCAGGACCATCAGACTGCAATAGCGATGCTTATCTTTCAGCCGTGCGCCTTTCTGGCCCAAGATAACACTTACTGAAGATAGTCCAATTCCATGTATACGTCTCATATCTTATGTTGGATTATTCAAATTTTGTAATAGTAGCCATTACCATTAGCAGAGATCAATCAAATGCTTTGTTTGTAAATCAAGATCGTTGAAATGTGTAAATTCAAAATCTTGCTTCAAAAAGAATTTTCTTTGCTGTTAAAATTTGTGGGCATTTAACAAACTGATAAGCTTTAACGGTTAGTTGTTGGGGAATGGATAATGGTGCTTTGACTTTGAAGGCAGATTTTATTCCAAAGCTCATATAATTGCTTAATAAAATAAAACGATATAATACGTCAAATATTTATTTTAGACAAGTTATATTACATCATCTACCCGGTCAATGATCGGTTCAAATTTGATCAGTGATTACCCGAGTTCTAGCCAAACTTGCTGGACCCAACCGCAGCAAATCACTGCCTTCTTATATAAAATATTTCTGAGTAAACTCATTCTCGACCGTCCGTTGAGCTTGAGGATGAGTTCATCAACTACCTTGTGCCTCTGCTCCAACTCCTACTCTTCCCCTCCAACTCTCAAATTTATATTCAAATTTCCCTCCAAATCCCAACATTCCTCTCTCTCAATGCTCGGATTTGGCGCCAAAGGCCTCAAAATTTCCTCTGCCTTCATCACCAACCAAGGTTCAGGTGAAATATTACACTAATTCTGTGACTGTGTTTTAGAGTCTTTGTCATGTCAAAAAATTCTTCATGTATTTGTAGNATAATTGCTTAATAAAATAGAACTAACATAAATCTCCTTTATATAATACGTCAAATATTAATTTTAGACAAGTTATATTACATCATCTACCCGGTCAATGATCTCGATTCAAATTTGATCAGTGATAACCCGAGTTCTAACTAAACTTTCTGGACCCAACCGCAGCAAATCACTGCCTTCTTATATAAAATATTTCTGAGTAAACTCATTCTCGACCGTCCGTTGAGCTTGAGGATGAGTTCATCAACTACCTTGTGCCTCTGCTCCAACTCCTACTCTTCCCCTCCAACTATCAAATTTATATTCAAATTTCCCTCCAAATCCCAACATTCCTCTCTCTCAATGCTCGGATTTGGCGCCAAAGGCCTCAAAATTTCCTCTGCCTTCATCACCAACCAAGGTTCAGGTGAAATATTACACTAATTCTGTGACTGTGTTTTAGAGTCTTTGTCATGTCAAAAAATTCTTCATGTATTTATAGTCCATATTTATTCAATTTTTGCAGAGAAAATTGGCCGTTGCAATTTGAATAAGAGGAGAGAACTGCTTTTTACGGCCACGCTTCCGTTTATTCTGCCTTTGCATGAATTTGTTGTGGAACTTGATGCTAAAGCGATAGAGTAAGTTCAAGATCAGCTTCATTTCGATAGTTTCTGTAGTTCGTTTTGCATAGAAATTATATTATTATTACATACTTATGTTGAAAAAAATTGTCTGCAAATTTATTATTTTTGGTCTTGTTCTTATTACTTTGTTTACACCGAAGGTCAGGTACAAGTGAGTATGTGCTTATGAAAGAAGCGGTTACGAAGGTAATCTCAAAGGGCAAGGCGGCTGGTGTACTTCGTCTTGCATTTCATGATGCAGGAACATTTGAAATGGATGAGAATTCAGGTATCTATTTTGGAGGATATGATCTTCTTGGTAAAAAGGTTTTTCAAATAGTGATTATAGGCATCATGATTATTGGCAGTTTATGAGGGTGCTTTCTGTTTTGGACCTTTATGTTATTAATTTCTATTACTGTGTTACAATTGATCTTCCATAGTCCATGTTTTTCTCTTAATTTAATTTATGCTGCCTTCTTATTATTAGTACAGGTGGTATGAATGGTTCTATAGTTTACGAACTTGAAAGAACTGAAAATGCAGGCCTTAAAAAGTCGTTGAAGGCATGCTCTCATATATTTTTCATTATGCTTTACATAACTTCGTGGACAAATAGACATATTCCTACATATGGCATCACCAGCTAACCCTTAGTGGATTAATTGTTGTTTAGGTTCTAGAGAAAGCAAAGAATGAAGTGGACGCAAAACAGCCAGGTTTTTCGATCTAAAATGATGGGAATAAGTTAACTAGTTAATTATTGTATGGTTCCGTGCTAAGATATTTAGATTTTTCCATTGTTAGTATCATGGGCAGACATGATTGCTGTGGGTGGGGCTGTTGCAGTTTCAGTTTGTGGAGGTCCAACAATCCCAGTTTCCCTGGGCAGAGTAGATTCGACGTAAGGGGCTCAACCTTATTACATGATATAAAACTTTAGATCAGCATCAATTTAGTATGTAAGGAGGCTTCACCAATAGAATCCTCTAACATGCAGTTTTCAAATGATATTGTCTTAAGCCAAGGATGTTTGATATTACTAGCCTAAAAAATTAAATGTTGGTTTAATAAATGATTCATTTGGAGCATTATCAATACCATAATATATTTTTACAGTGCTTGGTTCATCACTGCTAATATAACTGCTTTTTCTTTATAGGGTGGGCGATCCAGAAGGAAAACTTCCTCAAGAATCTCTGGATGCTTCTGGTTTAAAGAAATGCTTTCAAAAAAAAGGCTTCTCGTGAGTTTGTTATTGCAGATATCTTTCTTTATTCTTGTGCCCCTTATTAGTTCAATTCAGTAATGTGTTGTGCGAATTCCACACATGACTGAAACTTAGCTAGTTTCCTTTATGCATTTTGCTTCTATTTAAAACTGGCACAATGTGTTTGATTACTTTTACATGAAACTGACACCGAGCTAGTAGTTCAATTTTATACAGTTAGACAACTGTTTGCATAATATAGAACAATATTCACAGATGTTTATAGAAACATAATCATGTTGCTTTATCTTTGCAGAACACAAGAACTTGTTGCTTTATCTGGAGCCCATACTCTTGGAAGTAAAGGTTTTGGAAATCCAGTTGTCTTTGACAATTCATACTATAAAATTCTTTTGGAAAAACCATGGCAATCCACTTGTAAGTATTCTGACACAGCACTTATTTTATCTTAGTTGTCTCCTTTCATATCATTCCAACCTCTGTGAGTATTTAAGCTGTTTGTTTCAGTTAATGAACTATGGTATTTGGCAATTAATATTGTTCTTTTGAAAAAAAGGGAAAATATTGTTAACCTTCCCCTTAATATGTTTTGAGTACAAACATGTTTCTGTAATCTGAAAAATATCAATGACCTCTCCTGCATAGGGTTATAACTGATTCTAGGAGATTTCAAAAAATATTTTATCAATTCAGGGAGGATTCTTACAAATTTCATTTATTTAAATGGAGGTTTTTTATTAGAAGATGATAAGGCTCTGTTTGTGTTGAAGACATCCTATAGAAAAGATCAATGATATTATCCTTAAAAAAAAAATCACGTTCACCTTAATTACCTGAAGAAAAGTATAAAAGGATGAGCTTAGTGGCTTTGGGATCTGGCTGTTGATTGTCCAAATTCTTCAAGTTCAAGTTTAGTTCTTTCTAAGTAATCTGTTCTTGGTGACTGAATTTTCATTCCATTCTTGTCTCACATGTTATAGGGTTTCCATTGCTGCCCAAAATTCGTTTAAAATCAATTACCAATTGCTTCTTGACAACTATTTCTTGTCATCTTTCTCTAGTATTTGCATTGATTATAATTTTTCTCATATCCGTCTATCCATTATATTCTTTTGCTTGTAGCTGGTATGTCGAGCATGATTGGACTCCCTTCAGATCGTGCACTTGTTGAGGATGATGAATGCTTGAGGTTAGTTATCTTCGAAAAGCCTCTAAAACTGGCATTCTTTGTGTCGAGTCTATTTCAAGCCTGAATTGAAAGCAGTGAAAAAATTTGAATTACTCACTCTGATATACATCAACCCTAAAATGGGAAAAAAAAAAAAAAAAAAAGATTAAAAATTTGCATGTGATGCCACAATTTGCTTCCTGTTAGTTCATTTAAGTTTATGTATATCTTTGTTTAATACTAGCATTTTCATCTGTCATTGTATTATAGATTTCTCCTTTTGTTTCTTAACTTAAACGAAACCTCATTTAATNTGGATGCTTCTGGTTTAAAGAAATGCTTTCAAAAAAAAGGCTTCTCGTGAGTTTGTTATTGCAGATATCTTTCTTTATTCTTGTGCCCCTTATTAGTTCAATTCAGTAATGTGTTGTGCGAATTCCACACATGACTGAAACTTAGCTAGTTTCCTTTATGCATTTTGCTTCTATTTAAAACTGGCACAATGTGTTTGATTACTTTTACATGAAACTGACACCGAGCTAGTAGTTCAATTTTATACAGTTAGACAACTGTTTGCATAATATAGAACAATATTCACAGATGTTTATAGAAACATAATCATGTTGCTTTATCTTTGCAGAACACAAGAACTTGTTGCTTTATCTGGAGCCCATACTCTTGGAAGTAAAGGTTTTGGAAATCCAGTTGTCTTTGACAATTCATACTATAAAATTCTTTTGGAAAAACCATGGCAATCCACTTGTAAGTATTCTGACACAGCACTTATTTTATCTTAGTTGTCTCCTTTCATATCATTCCAACCTCTGTGAGTATTTAAGCTGTTTGTTTCAGTTAATGAACTATGGTATTTGGCAATTAATATTGTTCTTTTGAAAAAAAGGGAAAATATTGTTAACCTTCCCCTTAATATGTTTTGAGTACAAACATGTTTCTGTAATCTGAAAAATATCAATGACCTCTCCTGCATAGGGTTATAACTGATTCTAGGAGATTTCAAAAAATATTTTATCAATTCAGGGAGGATTCTTACAAATTTCATTTATTTAAATGGAGGTTTTTTATTAGAAGATGATAAGGCTCTGTTTGTGTTGAAGACATCCTATAGAAAAGATCAATGATATTATCCTTAAAAAAAAAATCACGTTCACCTTAATTACCTGAAGAAAAGTATAAAAGGATGAGCTTAGTGGCTTTGGGATCTGGCTGTTGATTGTCCAAATTCTTCAAGTTCAAGTTTAGTTCTTTCTAAGTAATCTGTTCTTGGTGACTGAATTTTCATTCCATTCTTGTCTCACATGTTATAGGGTTTCCATTGCTGCCCAAAATTCGTTTAAAATCAATTACCAATTGCTTCTTGACAACTATTTCTTGTCATCTTTCTCTAGTATTTGCATTGATTATAATTTTTCTCATATCCGTCTATCCATTATATTCTTTTGCTTGTAGCTGGTATGTCGAGCATGATTGGACTCCCTTCAGATCGTGCACTTGTTGAGGATGATGAATGCTTGAGGTTAGTTATCTTCGAAAAGCCTCTAAAACTGGCATTCTTTGTGTCGAGTCTATTTCAAGCCTGAATTGAAAGCAGTGAAAAAATTTGAATTACTCACTCTGATATACATGAACCCTAAAATGGGAAAAAAAAAAAAAAAAAAAGATTAAAAATTTGCATGTAATGCCACAATTTGCTTCCTGTTAGTCCATTTAAGTTTATGTATTTCTTTGTTTAATACTAGCATTTTCATCTGTCATTGTATTATAGATTTCTCCTTTTGTTCTTAACTTAAACGAAACCTCATTTAATGCACAGATGGATCACAAAGTATGCTGACAATCAGAATGTCTTCTTTGAAGATTTCAAGAACGCTTACATTAAACTAGTGAACTCTGGTGCAAGTTGGAAACGCTTGTGATAATATTTTATTTACTGAATATACTTACAGGAAAGGGAAGTCTCCATATTTGATCATGAATTGTAATTATGATTCTTTCCTTCTTATTAGATTTTATATTTTTCTGAAGTGCTTAAATGGGGCTTTGATGATATTCAAACGGGCCTAGCTTTGCAACCAATTGATAATTTACTTGAAATAATGGAAGTGATTCAAACAAACTAAAATTTTGGTTTAAAGGGTGAGTATAGATTTCATAAAAACTGGAGTTGTCTTGCATATAAATGTTTGTCGTGAAGATAAATTTTGGAGCATAATTATTGGACACAAGAAGGGTGACCCATTATTAAGTGGTTACAAACTCCCAACTGGTGGGGAATATCAGCTGTCATTGACGTAAGAAGTTTCCTATGAATGGGATGGTTTGTGTGGATAAAAAATATGTGGGGGTGTGTGTTTTAGCTCATTCTTGCCCTGCCCTTCGAAATCTAATTATTGTGGTTTATGAAAAGAAAGAGAACTACCCTTCTGTTTGTTAAGAAAACAAAAGAAAAGTCCTTCTCATTGGAAATAATCAGATTAAAATCATCGGACCCATTTGATAATGCCATTCTCTCTTGGGTATTGGTCATCTTTGATTAGGATGAAGAAGGCCAAACAAAAATGCACTAAAAAATATAAGGGGCATACTTAAGCATAAGACCCTACCACCAAATTTCCATGTAAGTTAGTAAAACTAAGTCCAAAGACGTAGTATATATTCCAGTGTTTGTGGATCTAGCCAAAATTTCACCAAAAAAAAAAAAAAAAAAAAAGGTGATTTTAATAGGCAACAATTACAAGGTATCCCAAGTTTCAACTCCACAATTTGCACCATTGATTAATTTACATAAATTTATTTTGACCAATTCTTGTCTTAGTAGTGATCTAGGGTCCATAAGCAGCCAATCAAAGTTTGTGCATGTGGGAATCATTGAGCATCACACTAGAGCCAAGAAAATAATGTGAACGTTTCATAAAAACAATATCCAAGACAAAGATGATTATATTTATTTTAACAAGAAAGAGATGAGAATTTTTCTCCAGTATTATTTTGTCAAGAGCCATCCATCCATCCAATCCATATTATAGACTTTGTTTAAAATGGGTACCCAAAGTTTGATTCAAATATGAACCCTAAACCCTATCCCGTATGTATTGTGATTGTGGGTCGATTTTTTTGTTCAAAGAAGCATAAAAGAGAATGTTGGGCCACACCATTATCACTCTGAAAGTTTCTGTTCAGTAGCTGGGTTATAGTAAAAGATTTTCTTTCTGTGCCCATACAGCGATTAATTCTTTCCAAAAGGGAAAATTTATGCAAAATATTTTCTAATTGTTAACTCTAATCAATAATCACCTTTGAATTTATAATCCCTATCTACCCAAATGAATATGAAGAAGACACGTGTGGACCCATTTCACAAGTGCAAATTCTATAGATAGGATTAGAAACATGCTCATTTGCTGATATCACGTGCCATGTGGGCATTACATAAATTTGTGTATAATTTAGATTGAATATTAAAGGGGTTGGTGTAATAAAAAGATATTATCACCACCAACTTAAGACTAGTACATATACCCACCTGAAATGTGCTGATTGTTAGGTGTAAGTTTAGAAATGAACATATAATTAAATGGTAAACATAGGGATAATTTAAAAGGTTGACAAAACGCTCCCAATCCTATTCATTACAAATCTTATCTCGGGGGTGCTGTCCTGTCCAACTTGGCTTTAAAGCATTCATTTTCTGTCTTATCATCTCTATTAGTCTTTTCATTTTTATTCACTTTGAAAAATTAATCCATGTAATGGGTTCTGATACATGTAACGGTTTATTATATTGTCGACCCTGAAGTTTGCTGCAGAAACTTTCTCTTCTTTAATTTTGGACTGATACCTCAAATTTTTTGGAAGGGGTGGTAAAACATTGTAATAAAAGTTGGGAATGATGGTGTGTACACTGTATAGTAACGCTTTGTAGCGCGCCCCGACAACTTAGCCTGAGCTGGTCGGTTTGTCTTAACTTCACTCACGCCACTTGCATTTCCTCGCCTCTATTTCCATTAATTAACCTGCTTAATCACTACCACGTTCCCATTCCGTTATTGAGGATCTTATGAATCCTTCCTTTCACATTGTTTTTAAATTAATTATCACTAAACCTATTATTATTAACCTAATTAAATAATATATTTAATTATTTATCATATTTGGTATTAAGGTTGAGTAATATTAGGGCGAGGCCTAGTAGGTATATGTTTTGAGTGGCTTTAGGATTATCAACTAATCATAAACTTGTGTTTGGAGTTATTAAGCATTACTATTTTCAAGCATTACAACTACTTTTCAATAAAAAAAAAAAATAAAAAAAAAAAAAATAAAAAAAAAAAAAAAATATATATATATATATATATTAATTTTTGGAATTATCATATATATTATAAATAGAAAATTGTATATTTATTTTTTAAATTAAAAAAAAAATAATAATTGGCAATAACTCTACACTTCAAAAATTTAAAATTTGAAAAATAAAAATGGTCCCAGACGAAACAATAAATAACCGTCGGTAATTCACTGATATTTCCACTAAAATCGTATAACCGTATATATATATATATATATACACGAGAGTAACCGTATTTCTCTCTCTTCTCCCTTGTCTCTCTCTGCTAGAATAGATTGTGACATATTGAAATGGATTTGAAAGCCGCTGGTATAAAAGACCTTACACCCTTCAAAGTACTGCTTATTTCATAGTTACTTCAAATAAAGTAAATAATGATTTAAATTTCGACTTTTGAATCCGAAAGATCGTACTGGTAAGGTTTCGGATCCTCTGATTTTCCAAACCTTCTTCATTTTCATCCTCTTTAGATCCCTCAACCTCTTTCACAATTTTTGTCTTATCTCTCAACTTCAGTTGCGGCAGACTTAATGGAGTTTTGATTGATGCACAGTTTTCGAGGTAAGTAGAAGCTTTGTTTGGTTGCTTAGAAATTCGATAAAAATGAAGCAAGTTTTTGAATCTTGTTATGTTTTTCACACTTGTGCTCAGCTGCGTTTTTGTATCTGTTGTTTGTTGCATGTTTTTTGCTTTGAATAGATCAATGTTAAACTAGTGATTCTATATTTGTATTCACTGACATGGCGATCTTTTAATTTTCTAAATCTTGTTTTGTATTGAGAATCTGTTTGTATCTGAATTTGTTTGTTTTTGCTTAGGTTTTCCTGGATTTGCTTGTATTTGTTTTAATTTCTTGATTTGTTTGTAAAATACATATTTATTTATTTACGGTTATTAGTGCTCGATAAAATGCCCCAATTTTTGAGTCATTAGCTGTTTATAGTCTCACATTTTCTTGAATTTAACGGAAATAATATGTTTACTCAACAGTTTTGTTCTCGTGTCAATTTATGCTCTCATATTTGTGCTAAATAATGTATGGAAACAGAGACCGTAAGATCAAAGTATGAATGGATATTGTTCTTGCTTGCAGTGTCTGATGGATTTCGATAAACTGAAAGTAACTGATGGGCTTGAGGTGGCCCAGCAGAATGGGGATTATATGCAATTTATTGTGCCTGGAGAACATAGGGATGTTTCAGACGATGCTTATGGGACCGTTGAAGAGGTTACAGAGACTGTTGGGTTAAATGGAGACTCAGGAAGTGTTCCCAAGTTGGTCGAGAGAAGAATTAGTGGGGAGGTTAGGGATGGATCAAATGCTAACGTGGAAAGCAATGACTCCAATGTTTCTCAGGTATGAGTTAACGGAACTGTTAGATTGCTCTTATATAACATATGTCAATCTAAAACCTGCTAGTGTGTGTCAGGTTGGGAAAGTTAAAAATGCTGATACCTCACGGGATTCCAAACCTGTGAAGGGTAATGGCACAAGCAAGAACGAGAAGCCCTTAAATCCAAAAAGCGTTTCGTCAACCTTGATGAAGAAAAGTAGGGATGGCAAAAATGCTGAGGCATCATCAGCTGTTTCAAATGGTTCTGTTGGCATGAATTCACACTCCAAACAATCTTTTAAAACCAGGTCTTTCAATGACAGACTGCCCCATTTATCTAAGGTGAAGGTTGATATTACCCTTCTTTTTATGCTTTTATATCATTGCATATGTTGACTTTTTGATTACCAAAGGTTATTATTGGCTTTTGAATTCTGTCTGTTTTTACTGATCATTGTTTTTGCTCTCTTTCAGCAATCTGGAAATTCTGATGCAGCGTCATCTGAAGGCCTTGTGTATGGACTTTGCATTTATTAATCTCATTAATATTATTCTTTCTTTTACCATGTAGCCATATGTCTGTCTATAAGCCTTAGTAAATTTATTTCATTAAATTGCAAAAGTGATTATTTAGAAAAAAATTTGTTAGCCAGCTGGATTAAAAATATTTGATTTGTTTATTAGTGCTTGTCTTCTGCAAGTAAATCTTCTAAGTCACATTCATTGATGACAGTTTATTTTCCAGCAGTTTTGTGAACTGTTTTCTTGTGGATGCAGGGAGAAGACAATACGGAAGCCTGTGAAGAAAGGTCCTGTTGAAAAAGCTGAAGAAGATGTAGAATCTACTCTGTATCCCTTTATTGTTGTCTTTCTCATCCTTTTGTGGTTGAGACGGGGTGTCATCTAGGTTTCTTTCAAATATTTTTTGTTCTAGAATCCCATTTGTAGTAAATTCGCATTTATTAGTTTATCCTTAAGTACTTTTTAGTTCTACAGCAGGAGATACCAAGCCTCGGAAGGCGGGTGCACTTCCAAATTATGGTTTCAGTTTTAAGTGTGATGAGCGAGCTGAGAAAAGGAGAGAGGTTAGTTTCGTACTTGCTCCTTCGGAAAGTTTTATGTTGCCTACTCCTGCATCATCTGAAATATCAACATAATTGTCTATTATCGTGATGTGCAGTTCTACTCTAAACTTGAGGAGAAGATTCATGCCAAGGAATTAGAAAGAAGTAACTTGCAAGCCAAATCTAAGGTGGTATTTTATATTGGCGGTAGACTGTAATTACCCTAATGGTATTTCCCCTCCCCATCAGGATGTGGTGGAGGGAGATCATGGATTTATTCCCACTTGGGTACATGAATCTTACTTACCAAGCCTTAAGAATAATGGGGGTATTTCCATTAGCCTGCAGGAAACTCAAGATGCGGAGATTAAGATGCTCAGGAAGAGTTTGACCTTTAAAGCAACTCCCATCGCGAGCTTCTACCAAGAGCCTCCTCCTCCTAGAGTGGAGTTAAAGAAGGTAAGTTTGTACTTTCGTCAAAGATGTAACCAAATGAAAACTAATTTTCTTCTCTGAATGTTAGTATCATGGCACTCGTATGGAGAATGCTTTACGAACTGAGTGGATTGATTAAATTTTATTGATAACATTAACAAAAAGGATGCTTGTAGTTTGAGTATGATCATTATTTGATAATTTTGTGCTCATACCAATTTGGTTTATCTGCTCCTAATGTTGATAGTTGTTGAAACAAGATCTGAATCATATAAATGCTTCTTAATTGAAAGAGTGTGTTTTTTGCTTATTGGTAAAAGTTATGCCAGAATTGATTTTGAAAATTTATTCACTGCATAAAAGTGTTTTATGGTGGTTGTAGGTTCGAGTGGCACAGACATGCTTTTTAGTCTGGTGGTAGTTAGTTTGCATTTTGCTATGTTGTAGCTTTTGAAGTTCTCTCTGATGATCCCAGCTCATTAGTGTGCAGCTGAGCACATTTATTTCTCTTTGTTTGGTTAGGAAATATAATTTCTGTTTCTTGAACTAAGCAAATACTGTGAGTTGGGGACGAAATTGAAGTAGTGTTTAGTTTATTAAAAGTCTTGGAATTTTTCATTTTATTTTATTAAGCATTGGCCAAAGATTTAGCGTAGAATATCAGATAATGGATGAAAGCTGTGCATTTATATATAGAAACCAGAGAAACAAGGACTAAAGAGTTGGGTGGTTACTTTGGGGGCTAAGTTTACTGGTTGTATTTACATTTCACTGTCGGGTTATGTTTATTTTGATTGGGATTTAAGAAATAGCACCCCCCTCTCACTCTTGATGAGAAATACTTGATCATTTAATCCTTTATTTTTCTTTGCCTGTGCTTTGCACTTCACCCATCTCAAATTATTCTTTTTCCTGATAAATGAATTTACTTTTAGGTTGTTGAATGCAGCCCAACCTTCATCTCTAAATTATTTTGCCTCAGTTTTTGTATATATATTCGGGAAATATATCTTGATTACATGTTTGGTTCCCTAACCTAATATTGTCACAGTTCATGCTCAATTCATTCTTGATCTGATGATTTGAGTTCAGTGCAATTGCTTGTTTTTATTTCCAATCACCCTCTTTGACCATTCCAGTTGTGTAGCAGAATTGATTCCAGTTTACTGGTTATGGGTAGCCGGAGAGATATTAAGACAATTGTAACTGCTTTTTCCTTAACCTGAATATAATTTGATGTAGATATACCAACAACAAGAGCCAAATCTCCCAAACTTTGTAGAAAGAAGTCCTTGACTTCTGTGGAAACGGATGGAAATGGTAACCCCAGCACTCGACCAAGCCAACTAAGTCTGGATGAGAAAGCATCTCAGAGCAACTCTGCCAAAGGAATTTCTCCTGTACAATCGAAGAAGCCACAACGGAAGTCCCTTCCTAAACTGCCTTCTGAAAGGAGCAATTTAAACAATTCCAGCAAGGAAGAAAAGATGACATCACCAAAAGCAGCAAATGAGGAAAATACCACTTCATTGACTGCAACAAAGGAAGCTGATTCTCTCATCCAGGAGTCAGCTTCTGCAACTGGTTCAAAAGAAACTCAGCTCGGTGCAGAGGAGGAACCAGCAGTTGGGGAGCAAGATGAACCCACCTTAGTACAAGAACCCATGGCATTGGAGGGTCAAGTTCATTAGCAGTTGGAATTGGATGCTTATACAAAGTTGTTGACTTGATATTGCGTAAATAAGAAAGGTTTTAGACTCAAACTATTTGATGATGAAAGAGTGAAGGATTCTGCATTTGGGTTGTGATGACATATTGTCCATAGTTACCAGCATTGGTTGTTTGTGTGCTTGCTTAGAAGCTTGCTGGTCTTGTCACTAAGATTCTGCATTCCTAATTGGAGCAGTGTGTGTTATAATTTGCCAAGTTGCTATCCTAATTGATGTTGTTTAGTTGCCAGCTTAGTGCATTATCACAGGTGTTGTTTGTTTAAAGGGGTTGCGCTTGAACAATGGAATTGTCAATTAAGGCTGATTTTGTGTTGTGGACAATTTTTTCCCCCTTTCTGTGAACTGCTTCTTTATGTTCATCTTTATATTTCTGTTGTAATGAGGTGTTTTTCTTTTTCAAGGGTTCCATTGAAGCCACTTCTTTAACCTTGAGGCCCTTGGCTGCTTAGTTAAGCTGGCCTTAATGACTTTTTTGTTACATGTTTTACTCCTTGAGGCTGGTTTATAGATAACAGAACCATTTGAATTGGTTTTGTCCTTTCTATTCGGATTAAATTAACCTATGGGTAAAATTGAAAAATATGAGTTATCCCAATTAAAAAACAAACAGAAGCAATTTTATTCTGCGGCTTTCTTTATATATTCACTTTGAAATTTTGCTACCAAAATAGGGGTAAATTGATCATTTGTCGTCTCATTTTTCACATATGCATATGGGTAAATTAGTCGTTTCACTAACTCATGATAATTTGGTGGCATAATCGTAATTCAACATAATGATATGGGTATTTACGTAATTGAATGAGTTGATTAGCCATTAAATGAATAAAAAACTAAAATATTAAACTCTCAAAGGTATTTCAGTCTTCTCTATCATTTTTATCCTTTAACAAACATAAATCCCTAACAGTGGAAGGTATGTGTTTGTCTTCTCCAAACTTTTTGAACACTAATTTGTCTTTATAGTAAACTTTGGATCGGTGTAAGTCGTCCTCCTGTTTAAATCAATTCAATCTCATCAAATTGAATGTCAGAAAATTAGTTTAGAGGGTCAAATTATTAAACGTGTCATGAATTGGTTGATACGCTTTGACACGAATAATAAATGAGTTGGCTTGCGTTGTGACCTTTGACAGAAATAATTAAATGAAGCAAGCTTGGATTAAATATTTATTTGACACAACACGTCAGGTCGTCAACCCGTTTTAACACGTACTTGTATCCCGTAAAAAAATAAAATATCAAAAAGTTACTATAGTACTTATATTATCTTTAAATGTAATTAAAATTATTAAATATAATAAATACAATCAACAATATATTAGGATCCACATCGACAGAAAAAAGGTGTGGGATTGTGGTTTATAATGGTTTGAGCACCGTTTCTTGGTAAATTCATTTTCTAAAAAGAGTTCTATTGAAACACACAAAAAGATCGCTGTACAACCCATTTTCTATGAATTAACTTTGTCTTGTTTGGTTTAAAGTTAAAATTTTTCAAAGGAAGAAAAAGAGCAAAAGACAAGTCAGCATACCAACTTGTTGATATAATGAATGGTTATGAACTTACGATGGGTTTTGAGGAGTCCAATATATCTTTTGACCGACTTGACTTGGGAGACTTCCAGTTCCATAGATGTTATAATTATGGATTCTAGGGTCATCTTAATTCAGCACCAGATTCATCAATCTTTCTAAAGTTAATTCATACAGAACATGCAGAGATTCCATTTTCTTTCAATGCATCCTATTATCCTGTTCTTCTACTATTTGCATCTTTTACAGCTACGGCTCAACGAAGACAGTCAAATATAAGCCTAGGATCTTTTCTTAAACCAACCACAAACTCCTCATGGTTGTCAGGTTCTGGTCTCTACGCCTTTGGATTTTATCAGCAAGGCAATGGCTACGCGGTTGGAATTTTACTTGCAGGAACTCCTGAGAAAACTGTTGTCTGGACAGCGAGACGCGATGATTCTCCAGTCCCCAGAAATTCTACTTTGCTGTTGAATTCTGAAGGCAGGCTTGTCTTGCAATCAACACAAGGCCAAGATACAAATATCGCCGAGATTTCCAGCCTTGGCTCTTCTGCTTCCATGCTTGACTCTGGAAATTTTGTGCTCTATAGCTCTGATAAGGAAATAATATGGCAGAGTTTTGATTACCCAACTGATACTCTTTTGCCCACTCAACGTCTTCTAGCAGAGCAGGAGCTGTTTTCAAGTATTTCAGAAACTGACCATTCCACAGGGAAATTCCGTCTTAAGATGCAACAAGATGGAAACCTCGTGCAGTATCCAACGGAAACTTCGGACACAGCTGCATACTCTTATTGGTCGTCTGCTACAAATGGGTGGGGCGCTAATGTCACACTAAACCTCGATGTGGATGGCCGTCTTTACCTGCTTAATTCAAGCAACTTCAACACAGAGAATTTAACAGAAGGGTATAATGCAACGAGAGGAATAATCTATTTGGCGAAACTTGATTCGGATGGGATACTAAGATTGTATTCATACAATACGAGACAAGATCGTGCATCGACAGTTGTCTGGGAATCTTCGAAAAATAAGTGTGACCCTAAGGGGGTGTGTGGATTTAATAGCTTTTGTGTTTTAAATGATCAGAAACCTGAATGTAGATGTCTTCCAGGATATTCCTTTGTTAATCAAGGCAATTGGACATCTGGGTGTGAAAGAAATTTCACCGCAGAGAGTTGCAGCAAAAAGAATGGATCTGTCAAATACATGATTCAACCATTGGAGAATACTCGCTGGGAAGATCTTCCATATTTTGTTCTATCGGAAACAACCAAAGAAGACTGTCAACAAGCATGTTTGGTGGACTGCAATTGTGAGGCAGCGCTATTCTACAGCGATGATCGTGAGTGCAGTATGCAAAGATTTCCTTTGAGATTGGGGCGAAGAGATATGGGAGCTGGTTCAAATAGCATTGCTTTCATCAAGGTCGGAATTATGTCCTCGAATGACGACATTGTTCAGAAAGAAGGCAAGAAAAACCCCCAAACAGGTCTGGTAATTGTAATAAGTTGCGCATTTGTTGCTTTTATAGTGGTTATTTTAGCAACTTTCGGGATTGTCATCCGTAGATATCATGTCTGGTCATATAAAAAAATTCGAGGAAATGGTAACCTCAGATTTTGTGAGGATATAGCTCCCATATCGTTTACTTTTGCAGAGATTGAAAAACTAACGGAAGGTTTCATGGAAGAGTGATAGAGGATCTTCAGGAACAGTTTACAAAGGGACTATGTTGAATTCCCAAAAGTTTGTAGCTGTCAAGAAATTAGAGAAGGTGTTAGCCGAAGGGGGAAAAGAGTTTCTAACTGAGATTAAAGTTGTTGGGAGAACCCACCATAGGAACTTAGTTCGTCTACTTGGTTATTGTTTTGAGGGAGCCAACAAGGTCTTAGTATATGATTACATGAGCAATGGTTCTCTGGCTGATCTTCTCTTCACACCTGAAAAACAACCTAATTGGGTTGAAAGAATGGGCATTGTTCATGATATAGCTAGAGGTATTCCATATTTGCACGACAACTGTGAGACTCAAGTCATCCACTGTGATATAAAGCCTCAAAACATACTCATGGACGATAACAGGTGTACAAAAATTTCTGATTTTGGATTAGCAAAGTAGTTGAAGTCAGATCAAACACACACTTTTACAGGAATTAGAGGAACTAGGGGATATGTTGCACCAGAGTGGCATCGAAATCTACCGATAATTGTTAAAGTAGATGTTTACAGTTTTGGAGTTGTATTACTGGAGATCATATGCTGTCGTAGAAGTATGGACCAAAATCTCTCAGAGGATAAAATTATTCTTGAAGACCGGGTATACCAATGTTTTGAGTCTGGTGAGTTGAGTCAGCTAGTAGGTAATGAAGAGGTTGAACTAAAACAATTGGAGAGGATTACTAAAGTTGCACTTTGGTGCATTCTTGACGAGCCATTGCTTCGGCCTTCAATGAAGAAAGTTTTACACATGTTGGAAGGGACTGTTGATATCCCAGTACCTCCTAATCCTGCTTCTTATCTTACTTGCATCTAGCTCATTTTTGTGTATGTCAATGTCTTTAGGCCCTATTATGCAATTAAAATAGAATATAAAAATGTAAATCATTCTATGAGCATAAGTTGAACTGGTTTATTTTCGTGTTCTGTTCACTTTCATGCAATAATATATTATTACATAATGTTAACAAATATTCTTTTAACATGTAGCAACCATCAAAAAATAAGGTTACTTAGCAAGACTCCTCTCAATTTTCATTCGCAGATAGCGGATTACTATCTTACAAGCCAACAATATGATTCTATGTGTCATATATAAATTAACTTGTGGTATCATAGATTTTCTGTTTGGATATTAATCACTTATCTAATTTACTTGATTATGTCAACTCATAATGGACACGCATATATACTAAACTGTTGAATTTATACATTTTCTCTTCCATGTTAATATATTTATTATTTCAATATACCAACCAGGTAAATAAAAAAATAAAGCGAAAAGCTACAATATCCAGTTGTGCGCAGGATTGTAGAGGCCAAGGGAGCTCGAGCTTTCAGTTTCATTTGAATGTGTCAAAATGTGTACATTCATATGCCATACAGCCCTATCAACAAGGCATTTCAGAAGTTCTGCACTACCAATTTTAATTTCTTTGTCTTTAGCAAAGACTGTTAAATTTGGTGTGTGCGATACGTTTTTATATAATCAATTTTTTTTTCTTTTTTATTTTTAGCAAACTCTGAACAAATAATATTATTAGCGTGTCACAATTTAAATTCTAGAGTTGTTCTGTTAAAATTGTATATCCTTGAAGCTAGATTGCAAATTTCGAGTTAAAGTAGACTTGTTTACAGTTTTGGAGTTTTATTATTAAAAATCGTATAATCTTGAATCTCAAAGAAGTGGGGACTAAAATCTTCAAGGTACTCTTGAAGATTGACTTACCAATTTTGATGCTGAACTAAAACAATTATTGGAGAGGACCGGATGATAACAATCGGCCCTAAAATGTATAATAATTCACTAATCATCTCTTTGCCCTTGAATGAAGGAAGTTTTACTCCAGTAGCATCTAAGTCATATTTGTGTTAGACTAAGGAAAATTGAGAGGGGAGAGTTGTTTGAAGAGAAAATACTATTAATTTAAGAACTTGACCACTTAAACAAAATGACAAGGGTTCTCCCCTTTATATAGTGTCCAGGAGACCTTTTTACACGCTAACTTCACCTATCAACTTCCTCGTTGATTTACACTTTACCATTTTGTTCATAAATTACATCTGCTAACTCTCTAATGAGATATTTTTGCATGATTTATCTAGAAAAACATTTCTAAATACAAGGCTATCTTGGACTAAAAATATGGACTAGTGACAGGAATTAGACTAGCTAACTCTATTTCCAGTATGAATTATAAAGCCAAAAAAGTCATGGGCTAATCGAATTCAAATCGAAAAGAAAGCACTACAAAGGTTAACATCATCTTCAAATTAAATTGAACTCTTACATTTTCGACCCAAATAGTTTGGAAAAAAAAAAAATCTTAAATGTGGACTCCTGCATTCTTTTTAATCAAGATTTTCGTTTATCTATGTCATCAGATGTTTGAAAAAAAAAAAAAAAAAAAAATTACATTTTCAATGAATAAATTCTGACAAATTTCATTTATTAAAAATAGAAACAATTAATCGATTGATTTGATTGGCAATTTAGATGTGAAAATAAGGAACTCATAGAATCATGAGAAAATATACTACTGGGCTCGCCAACCCTCATCATGATGCCCTTTTGATCTCAATACAGATCGTTGACTTCCTTATCAAGAGGGTCTTCGTCGACAACGGCTCGTCTGACAACATCCTACTCTTGAATGCATTAAAGGAGATGGAGATCGACGAGCCTAACATCAATCGACGGCCTACCATCCTCTTTGGATCCAGTAGTGAACAGAAGTATACGATTGGAGAGATTGCTCTACTAGTTTATGTTGGTATAGTTAACCTTTACATGACATTCATGGTCTTGGACAACCCGTCTGCCTACAACGTCATCCTTGGACGACCATGGATCCATAGCATAAGAGTCATTCCTTCCACTTTCCATCAAGTTGTTAGATTCCCTACCAAGTGGGGAGTTAAGGAGATAGGAGGCGAACAAGGTACATCCTGAGATTGCTACTATAATACCTTGAAAGCGAAAGCCTTGACTTTGCAGCAATTACAGTCCAAGCTAAAACTTTTGAGTAGATCTAGACCAATTTACTATGGAAGAGCTCGACGATGTGCAGATTCACCCCGCCTTCTCAGATCGCAAAGCATAGATCTGGCCTCAGTAAAGACCAAACATCCAGGAAAAGTTCATCAACTTCCTCAAGCAACACTACAACTACTTTGTGTGTTCACACGCAAATATGACAGAGATCGACCCAAGGTCATGGTCCATCAACTTTAAGTAGACCTCGGTTACCTTCCAGTAAAATAGAAGTGTTGCAAGTTCACTCCAGAGCATAATAAAATCATCAACAAAGAAGTTAAAAAACTAATCAACATCAGGTCCATCTGCGAGGTCCATTATCCTAATTGGCTCGCCAAAGTCATCTTTATTTGAAAAAAGATTGGAAAGTGGCGAATCTGCATTGACTTCACCAACCTCAATAAAGCATGTCTGAAGGATTCCTTTCCTCTACCTCACATTGACATGCTAGTAGATGCTATCGACGGTCACGAGCTGCTAAGCTTTATTCTCAGGGTACAACTAGATCCTAATACATCTAGATGACCAAGAGAAGACTGTCTTCATCACTAAAAAAGGCATCTTCTACTACAAAGTCATGCCATTCGGCTTGAAGATACCAGCACATCCTACCATCGCCTTGTTAACAAGATGTTCATGGGACACGATGAAGGTCTATATCGACGATATGCTCGTCAAGTCACTAATCATTGAGCAACACCTTGAGCATCTTAAGCAAGCCTTCTACATACTAAAGAAGTACAACATGAAGCTAAATCCAGCTAAGTATCTCTTACGCAATATCTTTTTTCAACCTTCTTAATGATCAATTTCAGAATTAGAACAAACATTGGGAATTTAATTCAAATTACAAAGAAACTCTACAAATGCTAACAAAATTGACTCTAAAATTGATTTCTCGCAATCTCCGCACTAGATAGTTGGCTTATTTAGATATGTTTAACAAGTCCGTGTATGTTAAGAAATGATCAATGTTTTTAAGCTGTATGCAGCAATTTTTTTTTTTTTTTTTTTTAAGAATGAAAAACCCGGAAGAATAAATGTTTATAGAACCAATGCCAAGAAAATAATTCATTCGCTCAATAGTTATCTTTGCAATGATGTAAAGTAACTTAAATTATATGGGTTTATTAACTATATGGGTCTCTTTAGTCTTCACCTAAACCTCAGGGGCGTCAATAAACCTCAACCGGATGAGAAACGTCGACCTGTGGTTTTAAGTCAAGATATAATGCACTACCATATTTAATAGGCCAAACGCCATACACCTACCGAAGTTTTCATAAAAAACAAGTTAGTACACAAAAGGTTTGACATGACAAACAGCCACACTTTCCGTCATATTCGTTACGATTCCCGTCTGCTAAAGAGCAATATAGTACTTTCATCAGCACCCAAAAAATTTTAAATTTTAAATCTTTTTCTCCATATTCCGTTCTCTTCTCTTTTTTTTTTTTTTTTTTTTTTTTTTTTTCACTTCCTCCTCTTTTTCGTCTGTTTTTTTTCTCTCTCTTTGTTTCCTCTTTCTTCTTTCTCTTAGATTAAACCAAAAAAGAAAAATTCAGCAGATCAAAGCTAAAAAAGATATCACAGCCACCGGAAACAAATTCGGCGGCTGCGATCTTTGCTTTGGAACAGAAAAAAGCTACCACGCTCTAGATCGCAACGACTTAGGGGGACCGCTAGATCGTGGCGGTTCAAGGCCAGATCGTGGCGGATGGGGTGTGAGATCAAATTAATCGCATTCTTCCGCCACAATGTGGCCGGTTCCGGCAGCCCCTTAATTTTTCTTCACTTCCTCCGCACATGCGGCCAACTAGTAGTTGGTTTTTTTTTTTTCTTTTTTTTTTTTTTTTTTTGGGGTCTGGAGATAAAAAAAAAAAAAAAAAAAAAAGAGAACCATTGTTGGGTTAGAGAGAGACGGAAGGGAAATAAGGGTTGGAATTGCTTTACTGTGAGAATAGGATGACCTTAAAGCAACTCCCATCGCGAGTTCTACCAAGAGCCTCCTCCTCCTAGAGTGGAGTTAAAGAAGGTAAGTTGTATTTCGTCAAAGAGTAACCAAATGAAAACTAATTTTCTTCTTGATGTTAGTATCATGGCACTCGTATGGAGATGCTTTACGAACTGAGTGGATTGATTAAATTTTATTGGTAACATTAACAAAAAGGATGCTTGTAGTTGAGTATGATCATATTGATAATTTTGTGCTCATACCAATTTGGTTTATCTGCTCCTAATGTTGATAGTTGTTGAAACAAGATCGAATCATATTAAATGCTTCTAATTGAAAGAGTGTGTTTTTGCTTATTGGTAAAAGTTATGCCAGAATTGATTTTGAAAATTTATTCACTGCAATAAAGTGTTTATGGTGGTTGTAGGTTCGAGTGGCACAGACATGCTTTTAGTCTGGTGGTAGTTGTTTGCATTTTGCTATGTGTAGCTTTTGAAGTTCTCTCTGATGATCCAGCTCATTAGTGTGCAGCTGAGCACATTTATTTCTCTGTTTGGTTAGGAAATATAATTTTGTTCTTGACATAAGAAATATGTGAGTTGGGACGAATTGAAGTAGTGTTTAGTTTATAAAAGTCTTGGAATTTTCATTTTATTTTATTAAGCATTGGCCAAAGATTTAGCGTAGAATATCAGATAATGGATGAAGCTGTGCATTTATATATAGAAACCAGAGAAACAAGGACTAAAGAGTTGGGTGGTTACTTTGGGGGCTAAGTTTACTGGTTGTATTTACATTTCACTGTCGGGTTATGTTTATTTTGATTGGATTTAAGAAATAGCACCCCCTTCACTCTTGATGAGAAATACTTGATCATTTATCCTTTATTCGTTGCCTGTGCTTGCACTTCACCCATCTCAAATTA